GACTGGGCTGTGTTTTGAGGAGCAGGTCTTTTTCTGGCGGGTCACAGGTTGTGCTGTACGTGACTGATAATAGATCTTTCCTAGTATTAAAGCCGGTCACAGCCCCAATAAATCTGGAACAAATTCTGAGAAAGCATGTTGTGTTATGACTGGCATATCTGCGAGCATGGAGCTTGGCTTGAGAATTAGACAAAAAGTTTGCAAAGTGCTAATGCTGATGTCATTCCTTTGGAATGGAAAGGCTGTTGAAACAGTAAATACTTTCTGTGGCCAGAAGCTAAGTCTTGAGCTGGACCTTTTCCTCTCTGCAAAGGAAAGAATGCAGAACAAACCTAAAATGTGTATTTGCAATGGGAAAATTTTAATTAGTTTAGAGCTTTTAGCTATTGCAAACCATTTAAATACACAGCTGCTGTTCAGGCAAACATGAAAACTATTCATGGAAACTTCAAACTTACCTTAAAATGACAAGTTTGGGTTTTTTTCCTGTTTTTTAAAGCTGTGCTTGGTGTTCAAAAGTATGGTTGGAAAGTTCTGAAAATTATATTTGTACTGTACGTGCAGAAAGGAACGCAGACTAACAGAAGCATATAATAAAAGGCTTTAGTTCAGCAAGACTTAACATGGAAACCCTGTTAGCACCAAACAGCTGCTGGGAAAGTATCTGATTTTTAGGGGCATTTACTCATGTTTGTATCTGCGGAGTTTTGGTTATGACCCAAAACTCTGGGGAAGAAAAAAGAGATGACCAAAATACAAACTGAGCTGTGGTCCAGGTCTTACAGCTGGCTTCTCTGCTACGAGAGGTTAGTCTAAACGTTGGATCCGAGTAACCCGCAGCCTGGGAATGAGAACTTAATGCTGTAGCTTGGGATGGCTATAATATCCCTTTGACACTGAGATCTACAGGATAACTCAGATTCTTGTACTGTCCCTCAGAGGACCCCACTGAGCATTCACCAGGAATTCATCCCCACCCCCAGCTTCCTCCTAGGAGGAAGAGTTTTGCCCTGGCAGATGTGGGGAACAGATGTTGAGAGGAAAAGTTATAACAGGACAGTGACCTGAAGTGTTAGTTGGGCTCTTCCTTGACGTGACTGAACTTCTGTTCCCGATGGCAAAGGAGGAAGGCAGCGCGTGTCGGCTGTGGGTCTCTGCGCGCCCTGCTGTCGATGTCGGGGATCGGTGTACAGAGCTTTTAGGTGTTTGTGTCACACTCTAGTGCTCAATTAGCAGAGGGAGAGAGAGGGAGAAAGATTCAAAACCAAATCAGCTGTCTGTTGTTCCAGAACAGTTAGTGCTAAGTAGGTGAGTCATGCTCAGCCACCCACCACTTTTCCCTGAGGAGTTACAGGTAATTTTTCTGAATTTTAGGTCTCCTGTTTTACATCAAGGCTTCCCCTGTTCTTCTTCACCTTTCCACCACTGCACCTGTGATGTCTGGGAGATGCTTATGCTCCTCGTCCCTAAATGCTCCGGTGAGCTGATGTAGTAGACAAGTCCTCAGTGGCTGATGCGTAACAATAATAGTGAACTAGGAAAAAAGGCTTTTTACCAGTTCTGTGTTATCAGTGTAGAGCGTACAAGTTGGTGTTTGTTTTTGTTTTTTTTTTTTTCCCTCTCCATCATTTTCTATTTCAGAAGGATTTCAGCTCTTTGTTGGCTTGGCAGAAAGATGTTGAGCTTGATGCTTAATGTGTTATGAGAGAGGTTGGCAGGTATGACCAACAGCCTACCGAGGGCAGGATTCGGGATAGGTCTCGTTCTCCTTAGCTTAGTCTAGCTAACGAGACTGTGAATAATTAAGTTTATTACTGAAAGGAGATCAACCATCCATAGAAACCTGGGAATTTTTTACAGCTCTTGAAATAGGAAACTAAGTTTTTGAAATACTATAAGATGATGACAATTCTATGAGCTGCTTTCTCTCTCCCAAAAAGGCTGGCTTCAGTTTTATTAACAAGTTTTTCCATGGGGCGGTTTGCACTGTGTTTTTTCCCTAGCTTTCAGAGGCTGGGCTTGATGACGTCTCCTGAGGTCCCCTTCCAACCTGAGCTATCCTCTGAAGTTGTTATAGATGTCACTCATGCATATTTATTGCTTTCTGTCTTTAATTTTAGATTTGCTCTATTATTTGTGAGTTGGTTTTTTTTAATTTAAATTCAGTGTGGGGCTCTAAGGCACACGCTGTCCTTTCCATATGTTACCATGATTTCCAAGCTTGTGATGAAAGGGCGCTTCTTACTACAGACTTTTCTTTCTTTGCTGTTCTTCTTGTAAAATGATTCATGGCGTTAGCACATGAGCGACACGGGACACATCGGCTCTGTACACGTGGTGTGTATGTTCCGTGTGTGCAAGTGATCCCTTGTACCTGCCCAGTCTCACCTGTGAACGCTCGGGAGGTTCAGCATGGGGGATGCCTGGCACAGTTGGTCAGCATATGTGCATCATCTCATACATCTTACTCTTTAGAAGACGTGATGCAGCACCCATCCATATGTATATTATTCATCAACTTTAAATTATATTATTAATTTTTTTTGCACGCACTTTGTCACTTTGGGTCTGTGTATGTCCCGTTCCCTCTCTCCCTGTCCCCAAAATCTTTGAAGAAGACTTCTGTTCTTCCATCTCCAGCTTATCTGTATAAACGCTTGGTGGCATAAATATCCACATATCCTTAGTAACGCAAAGCTTCAGTGTATCTGGTGCTCGCAGCCTTCTCCTTGTGAACAAGGTACGTGCTTGGGAAGCTCATATTAAAAAATTTCCTTAGTAGGACACTTCATGGAGAAGTGTGACTGAAGTACTTGGGGTTTTTTATTATTTATTTGCTGGGTATACCCAGCTCCCTTAGGTCTTAAAGCCAGTTCCTGTATTTGGAGCAGTTTGAACCTTCAGCCCTGACCTGCAAGGGTCAGAGGACTTAGTTACTGTACAAAGCGATCGTTTTTCACGGGAGAGGGAAGTGAGATTTCTTTGGGCTTCAGGGTTTGTTTTCCTCTCCTGCTCAGTGTGACACAGATAGCATCCTTGCTAGAAAGCGCAGAGAGCAAAGAAAATTCAGTCCACATGTTTGGGATTTAAGGTTGAGAATGATTCACGCTTAGCTTCTGGGGGTTGTAATTAGGGGTGACATAATAACCATAAACTTTCAATAAAATAGTAGCAGCGTTTTTGTTACCCTCTGTAGCTGCAGAAGCTGCTTCTGATTAGCATGCCTTCGAGATAAGCCTACGGGACCTCTGCAGTTTCCAGATCTGGATCCAGGCTTCTGTGGCACAGTCCTGCTTCTGTACTGATGCTGTAGGGAACCCTGAATTCTGAAACACCCCAGACTTTCATGATACTTTCACTTGGATCAGCATCTCAACCTTATCCTAAGCCATTTTAATCCATCCATGTAGTTTTCAAGTCTGTATTGTCTTATGCTGGCTAAACCCTGCCAGTTTATACACTTTATAGTACACTCTGAGGGTTATCTACTATGGAAGAAAACACTCATGCTATCCTCCCCTTCTCCTGAATTATTACTACTCCTTTCTTTTCCAAGTGGCTGAGACTAAAAGGAATCCAGGAATGTGTGGAGCAGGAGATCTGTCATTTCCCACTCTGCTCCAAGGTGCATTCTTGTAGGGAGAGATGGGCATTTACACTGGAGTGCTGCCATCAGCATTCAGCCAGTTCCATTCTCTGGCAGCCAAGCACATGGAATTTTTAAAAAGAAGATGTACTTTTTTTAAAGCAGGTCACAGACAAAAATCAAGACACATTCTTGGGCTACAAGAAGTAGGTCAGGCTTTGGGGGAATCATTTGTGAAAGCTGTTGATCTGATCTTACCAGTTTTTCTTTATTAATATTTTTGGCTTCCTATGCCAAGTCTCTGCTTTTTTATAAGGAGGTCCTGCTCATTTGCGTTAGGTGTGATGTATTCTTCTGCTTTGACTAGTGAACTTTTTACATTAACATTTTTTAAAAAGGGGAAAAAAAATAAAAAACAAAACCAGAAAAAATATGTTCCTAGTTTTCCATTAGAGAGTACTGTAGTGGAAAGTGAGGCCTCTCTATGCTGCGATCCAAAAGGAATAAAGCTCCTTTGTGTCACCTCATTACTCTAAGCTGATGTTTTACCTCCAGACTTTTTTTTTGAGGGGGATAGAGTTGGGGGAAAGGCTTAGATGATGGCCTCTGCAGCACCTTCAGCACTCAATTAATCCGTCTGATTTAGGAGAAGTATTTCACACCCTGCCCCGTGATAACACTGCGTAGCCTCTGCAAGAGCCGCCGTACCAGGTGCACGGCTCGGGAAGGGGGACGAGTTCCTGCGAGGTGGGCGTCTGAATTAGCCTGGCATGACCTCCTTACCTCCGTGGTTGAAAGGTGGCCGTGAAAAGAGCTTTGAGCATAATGTGACAGCAGCTTTTGAGGACTGGTAGCTGTAGGGTGGGTGCCAGGGCTTGGGGCGGGCACCCTGCACAGCTCGGCTGGGCTTTCCCTGTGCAGGGCAAGGATGCTCATCTCTCCGGTAGCCCAGTGCTCTGGCGCACCAGTGGCTAGCCCAGCTCTACAGTGGATGGAGTAAGGATGTGTTTGGTTAACAAACCAGGATTAGGTTCAGTGGTAATTGAGCTGTAGAAACCCCTGGACCTCTTCCATCGGCCGAGCTTTGGAAATAGGATGGTTTTGCTCTGTGAAAGCAAATTCCAATTAATAACGTTGTTTGTGGAGGACACCTCTACGAATAGTCTGACCTTTCCGAATATCTACAATTACTGGAAGTTTCATTCCTTCCTTTTTCTGTTTTATTTTTTTTTAACATTAATCCACGTAACTGCATACCTCAAATTCACAAGAACAAAAGAGCCAGTGCTTGTGTACAGGTAACGTGTGTGTGTCTCTCCTACTTACAAATTCCTGAAGAATTATTGACATAGCTGACTTTGTTTAATTTTGGTCATTTATTTTTCTTCCTATTCCCATGTTCTCTATTTTACAGAATTTGATTCAGAAGCAAAAAGGGTTCAAGACATTCTTTCTGGAATGGAGAAACCACAGGTATGTGATCCCAAATTCACACACTCACACGCATACAAAATAGCAAAACCGATAAGCAGATTGCGTCGCAACATACTGGTGATTTCACAGGGGAGCATCTCTGAATTTATTCCTTAATAAATTGTTGCTGCTCTATATATCTGGCTCATTTTGCCTGAATATAAATTTGAAGCCTCTTTTGTGCTCATGGATTTTGTAGACTCTGCCCACTGCAGGAATTGCACCAGTCGCCTGTTTCCAGAGGACAACTCCCAGTGTTCATACTGCGATGGGGAACCCAGTGCACTGCAGTGATTTACATTGCTCCTACCCACTCTCCCCTGGGTTTAATTTTATTTGTCATGATATTACATTATCTCTGTAATCATGATTAAATTAAGCTAATTCTATTATTCAATGGCAATTTCTATATTTGAAGTTTGTCTGAGCCATAAAAGCATGTGAATTGTAATGGAAATTGAATCACCATGCTGGGTGTGACCACAGTCAGGTAAGGTTAATAATAAATCTGATTGCAAGCCCTTTGAATGTGATGGTTTTCTCGTTTGGTGTGTTAAATGGAAACCGGAAAGGTATTGTGGATGTAAATGAACAGTCCAAACAAGCCCTGGAAGAAGCAGTCCCAAGGCAGAGGGAGACAGCTGTGCTTTGGGAGTTTTATCTCCTTTGCTTTGTCAGGGCTTAGGACTTTATCTGTCCAGCTGGAAAGCTAGTAAACAAGTAAGTAAATAAAATAAAATGAAAAAAAGGCAGTTGAAAAGCTCATCTAAAGGCTGAGTTCAATAGTAGCTGTTGAGGCTGATAAAAAGGAATTCCACAGTGGGAGCACAAAGGGGTGGTTATCCTTGGATGCAGAAGTGGCAGAGTTCAGAGAGAGGCAAGCGTGAGCACAGGCTGAGTTTTATTTTTAGGATCTATTCTCTTAGATGCTTTTGTTCTGAATAAATACTAAAGGTGTTCGGTGTTAAATCGCTCAATCAGTAGGTGTTGGATCTTGCTGTCACAGCATCTACAGGAGCAGATTCAAAGCCAGCCAGAATCTAAGCCAGACCCACAGAGATGGTGAATACCAGAGGGCTACAGCCTGAGTTTCGCTTTGCAAGGAGGAAATTTGCTTTATTTCATGTAGAAAAAGTGACAATACTAAGCTGAAAACTTGAGAGAAGAGTTTCTGGGAGATCAGAAGGGAAGAAAGGGCAACTACTGCAAAATTAAGCCAGTTTATAGTACACAGTGAGTCAACATTTTTGTATTGAGGACTACATGAACGTTGCTTATCTGGTAAAATGCCACAGCCCAGGTGCCTTTTACAAAGATCTGGAGAGGCTGACATGAAAAATGTGTTATTTCATACTTTTATCTATAGAGGTAAGGAGAGAAAGTGTTTGAACAGTTTGCAGGATTCTGAGCTCTGTACAATTAGATTTATGGTAACCAGAGCACTTAAAGCAGAGGGGAGCAAAAAAACTACCTATAGACAAAAATAATGTTCCTTGAATCGTTTCAAAACCAGGAATCTTTAAAAAAAAAATAAATCTACAACATGACAAGTTCTAGTTCAGTATTAATGACATTTAGTGAGAAGATACTGGGGATGATCTATTATTCTCTCTGTAACTTTGACATTTGTGAGTAATTAAACTCGTAGGAGTCTCCCAAATCATTAATTGCTATGAATGATTATGTGTGCGTAGTCAACATTATATCTAATAGAAATACATCATGTTATGCATAAATAGTCAGCTGGGCCATGGTTCTTGGTGAGCCTTATGCAGACATGAATGAAAACCAAAACAACCTGTAGAAAAAGAATTGTGTCGAAAGAAATGGCCCAATTAAAACGGAAGGGGACAGAGCAGTAAGTCAGTGGCAAGCGGAGTGATGCTGTGTCTGCAGGACATGGCTTTGATGTGCCCAAGCCAGCAGCACTCTCCACCATCCGGAGCCATCTGAAGGGTTTAGCCCTCTGAGCAACTCCTGCAGGAGACTCCGTAGCCGGGGTATCCCTTGGAGCTGTCTCTAATCTGGCTTGTCCGGGTACTTGTCCGTGACAAATTTTTTTCTTCCGAGTACAAAACATACACGCTTTTTAAATTAAAAATGGATTTTAAAATCCATTTTTGATAATAGATGTTGTTACTTGTTTGAGACTCGTGACGAAACTGTGAATTTAATCGTAGTTTTATCCCTTTGACAGCAAAAATTTTAAAAGCAGCATTTTGCTTTTCCTTTTTTTTTCCTCCCCCATGCTTTTATTTAAACAGAAATGTATTTTTAATCCATGTTATCGCAGACAAAGTGAGCGTTCTCTAAAGCCAACACCTCAGTGAGGGAAGAGCGACTCGAGTCTCGGTGGGGGGCAGCGCCGCTGCATCTGCCGGGCGGCTCGGGGGGACGTCAGCTCCCGCGGGGACACGCCACGGAGCCGGAGCTCGAGCATTCGTTTGACTTTGCAAAAGGCAGCCTGCTCCTGCTGATTTGCTCTGCAGCAAAACTCATATTTAATCATCGGGATTTTTGCCTAAAATTGCAGGATTAGAGCCGCAGTTGAAAAGCGAAATCTCGACCCGGTAATAACCGTGAATTCGTTTGACCTCGGAGCCTTTCAGACGGTGCCCTCGAGGGAGCGACTGGATGTTGCTCGCAGCGCGGTTCTCACACGCACAATGCAGCCCCGAGCCACACGGCGCCTGTGAATGCGAACCCGGAATTTGGAAGATAATGAAAGTTGTACAGAAACATTGTCCGTTACCTGAAAGGCAGAAGGGACCGATATTCATCAGTCTTGTAACCTTATTAAAGTAGTGCAGGAGTTGGGATTCTTTCCCAGGGGCTTTTATAAAATAATTATTTACACCGTTGAGTTTTGATAGCGTAAAAAGCCGGCATTTACTGTGGAAACCGAGAAGTTTTCAGAAACTAATTAACTGTGCTTTTTACCAGACATATGAAACTCCTTGTGGGGGAATCTTTTGTTAAGTCTCGGCTGAAAGGTCGAGCCAGTCCTGTTCAAAGCAAGCACAGGGATTTTTGGGGATAGATGAGCCAGACTGGGGTAATGGGAAAGCAGCACAGAGATTTACCTGCCCAGCCTGTGAGGAGCTGCTCTGGCTGCTTATGTTTTGTTGAGATGGAGATAGAGCAGTGTTAATGAACAATAACCTGTTTTTTACTTACAACTAAGTATGTAAATCTGCAAGTTCAGTAGTGGCATTAGGCCCACCGTGGGGATGTGAGCTGTGCTGCTCCTTACAGCGTGGAACGGGCTGCTCCGTGTCTGTTCTGCTCCTCAGTGTCTTTTTGGAAGGTGCATGTTTTCCCAGGAGAAGCAAGCAAAGTTGGAGTTAAAGCTCATAAGCTGGTTTTCGAGTATCTCCTTGTTACTCTCAGCATGTCATAAAGCCATTTATTTAACTTACCCTTTTTCACAGCAAAGCTGGTGCTTCCTGCTCCAGGTGGGAGTTCCTCAGTGAAGTTAAAGTGGTGGCTTTGGCCATTAAATCAGATATTGAAGAGATACACCTTTGACTGGTAAACGTGATACAATATCGAGCCTGCTAGTGAGCAGCAGATAAGTTTATCTCAACCCGTACAAATAAACCCGTTCCCAGTGCTCGCGCTGACGTGCACAGTCCTGTTCTGCTTTCTGTACCCAGGGAGTAGATGGATTTGCCTTTTCTGACTTTATCTTTCAGGCAGTGACCCCTCACTTGCTTTACTGCACTTGCTGTGTGTACTCAGTGCAGCTAAGAATTCTATTTAATGATTTCTGGTGTTTATTTTTAAACCTCCAGCAGCAGTTTCTGTGCACACAACAGCACCAAGGCAGGCCAGCAGCCACTCGGAACGCTCTACCAGTAAAAAGCTAATGGTGTAACTGGAGCAGCTTAGAAACTGGCTTTGGACTTTTGTCCTCTGCATGGAGATGTCTGCACACTGACTTCGGAATGATAGTCTAACATTTTCTAGCAGTCAGTCCCTAAAATACTTGCTCTTATTTTAAGAAACTATGAAAGACCTAACTTTTTACAGATTGCTGAAGTTCATGAAAGGCCAGAGTTTTTGCCATATGCAGGATATATACGTGTGTCCTTGTGAGTAGTCATAGAGAAAAACATTTCGATAGAACATTGGCAGGATATCATGCCTCCAGCTCCAAGTCTGTCTGAATTTATGAAAAACAATTATGCAAGCATATTTCCGTAATAAAAGAAACTGTGTGTTGTTGGGCTGAGCTGGCATAGTAGTAATGTATGGGTTTTTTTGAAAAAAACAAACTATTTGGATCTTACTATACAGTTTTCTGATCAAAATATTATTTAAATTACAGGCTTTTAGCTCTAAATATCTTTGTCACAATTTCATTCACATACATGTGTGTATATATATCTCTCTCAAAAATTTAACTTATCTGTCTCATCTGAAACATTCAGGAATCTTATAGGCTATCCAATCCAGTATCAGTGTTCATTGGTCCAAGTTTTTGAAGCAAACAGTGATTTCATAGTATCAGAAAAATGTGGCTAGAGCAAGAAATCCCGTGAAAATTCATAAAAGAATTTGTATGTTAATATTTTTTACAAAAAAAAAGTTGATAGTACTTAAAACTTCTTGTCTTACAACTCTTTTTTCACATTAGGTCAAACAGAGGTTTTCTTTTTGGCAAGACTTAAGTGTGCTGCTATAAATCAAAATCTTGAACTTTTGAGAGCACGGTGTTTAAGTTGAAATGAGACATTTTGTGGTGTCACCTACTTGTCAGTCTGTTAAAAACAGATTTATGACTTGCTCAGAAAGAATCTGCTTGATAGATGGGTGTCACACACAACAGTTGCAGTGCTCTTCAACTGGAAGCAACGTATTAAATATTGTCCATTATATAAAGATATCCAGAAGCCAGATTTGTAAACAAGCAGTCCCTGAAAGCTGATTGCTAATATTTCATTACCAAATCATTTATGGGTAAGGTCTTTCAGTTGTCTCAATAAAAGTGTAGGAAATGTGTAGCTAGGCACCTGCCTCATTCATCTTACACCTTCTAAAATGACGGCGTTTTGCTCTGTGTGCTGGAAAATTCTGTTAAAATGATCGAAGCGGTGAAATTTGATGCATAAGAGAAATTAACAAAGAATATAAAACCTCGTGCTTTGATTCCTCCTCGTGGAGGCCAGCTAAAAAAGTATTCTTTTTACATTTTCACTACAATGAAGAAATAAAACCATAATGATTTTCATTATGAAAAGCAGAGAGTTTGTGGCAGAGAGCTTGAGGCTATGGAGGCTTTGAGGCTTCCCTGGGCTTTTTTCCGAAGGCATGCATGAAGATGGTGCTGTTTTTCCAAGATAGCTAATGCAATCATTGTTTTTTATTTCTTTTCTCTTGAGATGGTGGCGGAGAGGATTTTATTTTTTTTACTTTTTCTTCTTTCTTGCCTTGATAACACAAGGCTGTTCTCTGGGAAGCTGGTGTACGATGCCTCCGGCACGGTGCCAGTGGGCTCTCCTGGTGAGAAGGGCAATGTCATTCTGTGAACTCAGTCAGTCCAGAGGTTATTTGGACCTGCGTTTCCAGAAGAATACAGCTGCCCTGGTGGAGTGATAAAGTTGGTTTGGTGCAGGAATTTGAGGTGTTTTTTCCATGTTTTATTAAAAGAGAATCCTCACCCATCTGCCATTGAGGGGTGGCTGTAGAGCTGTGCGCAGGGGTGGCTGTGGATCATACATGCAGTCTTTCAGGGCACAAAGTGATTGATTTGTGATGTAATTTTTAATTGGCCGGTTGCTCTTCTGTTATGATTCTCCCTGGTACTTTTGAGTCAGCGTAACCTTGCAGATTGAATTGAGGCTTTTGGCATATTTGCAGTTGAATTATTGCAGTTTCGAATTACAAGAAGGATCAGGATGACTGAAAAAGCCATCAGAGTTTCGTTAGAGAATCTCCCTAACAAAAGCTTTAGAAAAATAATTGCATACAAACCTATCTATAGCATAAAGTCTTTGTTCCACTTAATTCACTTGTCCTCCAGCAATGGCCATGGCAGCAGGTACTTCCAGAAGGGTGCGAGGCATCCTTGCTGGATGCTCAGACAGTGACAACCCACCTCTGTGTTCCTCATCTGCTAGAGATTAGTTTATGCCGTGAATCTGTATTTTCATTTGTGTTGTCGATGACCGTTTCTGACTCTTTACTTTTCACCTCTAGCTCTGAAATTTCCTTTTTACAAGAAACTGATTGCGAAGATGCAAACAAAAAGCAAACACTCAGAGGATAATGTTTTTCTTGGAATTTGGAGTAACTGCTGTTTCTTTTGTAGGTTACAAATATTCAAGCAAGAACAGTTTTACTTTCCTGGTCACCTCCCACCGGCCTTCTAAATGCAGATAGACACAACAACGGTTTGCCTTACACCTGTACCTATGAGGTTGCCTTATCAGATAAAGGGAGAGATGGAAAATACAAGATAATTTACAGGTAACAGCATCATTTTTACACTTGTGTTGCTCTTAAATTGTGTTTTTGGTAGGAATAAATTATCTGATCTTTTCAGAGTGTATTTTGATGTGTCCATCAGTCGCAGAAAAAAGGCATGTTTGAACACCCTGTAATTGCTCCTTTGCTGGAGGAGCTCATGATGAGCTGGTCGGGTGGATGTCACAAGGTCCCTAATTGCCTTTGCCTTCCCACCTCCCCGGCACATGGCAGGTTGTGCATATGATGCTGTCTCTCCCATGGCCACTGAAAAGGTTACTTTTTCTCTTACGCTAAACGTCGAAACTTCTTGTGTATACTGTGCAGGCAGGATAGCTGCCTTCCTAATGGGCTAAATTGGTGTGGATGTGCAGAATTAAGATCAGTAAAGCTTGCTTTTTGAGCTAATGAACAAAAGTTGAAGGCTTACTGCTTTGTAGCATCTTCCATGAGCAGAGGAGGCTATACAGGCTCCCCAGAAAAACCCAAATACTTGGCTCTCAGCAGTCTCCAGGAAAAATTCTGAGGGATTTCTCTGTCTCTCCTTCCAGCGATCCTCTGAGCTCATTCTGTGATCAAGTACATATGGCGTTATGCCTTTCTTTTCCCCCTACTAATGACGTCGAGGATAGAAAATGTTGAGATGAGACCTTGGCTGTTGTGAAACAGCTAATCCTTCCCAAATCTCATTAAATAGAGTCCAGGTGGTACAGCATTTATGGAGTTGCCTCTTGAGACCAAACTGTCTCCTTTCTTAAAATGTCCTGTGAATTAGGGTATTCCTCCTGGTATGCTAAAGGTGGGTCTGCATGACCCGTCTTGGGTAATATAAAAAGAACATATGAACCAGGGAAACGCTGCATGATGATTTTATTTTTTTTTTTGTCTGGTGTTTATACTAGCTGTTTGTGAGCCAGTGTGAGCATCTCTATAGGTTAATGTGTGCTGCTGAGCTCTTAAAATGGGAAGGAGACTTTCTAGTACTTCTTGTGCTTGCTGGTGTGCTGGCTGCACATTTTCTCCTGGTTATGAAATGTTGTGCATCTGTTTTAAAGCTGCTGGTAGTAATCTGTCTCCTGCTGCTGGCCAGAGTACAGCCATTAGCTTAATGTGGTATGGTCCATCACGAGCAGCAGTGATCATTATTGCTATAGGCAAAAGAAAGTCTGCAATATGTTGAATACATTGTCTTTGCAAGGAGGTGTGCTCATTTCAGAGGGAAAAAAAAAAAAACGGAATTTGCAGAGCATCAAGCTATATGAAAAGAAGAAGTTTTTTTGGTGGCTTTCTGGCAGCCCAGCAGGCGTGTGCTTTCCGGTTGATTTTGTTCTCTTGATTTTGAGATGTCTACCTGTATTTGTCCTACTATCTATGAAATATTTCTTTATGCTAAACCAAGAATTTTCTCGTTTCCCATATTTTAATAAAATCGTGAATAAGCCAAGCTCTTCTATGAGGGGGCTGTTACTTATTAAGCAGTGACCTGTACCTTAATCTTCACAGAATGGGCAACACATGACTGAACCCAGTGTTCATTTACCAGCAAACAAACCAGAAGAAAAAAAATGGCCCTGTGTTGCCTACATTTGAAATAAATGGATTATATGCTGGTTTTTTCCTAAAATGTCTGAAACTCTGTGCTTTTACTTTTCTCAGTATTGAAAGAGATCTGGATCGAGCTGTTAGGGCATTAATTAAACGTCTCCTTGTGATCCTCACTGACAGGGTGGTTCTGGAAGAGAAAGCAAATAAGTGAAATGGTTGTGTGAGAAGCTGTACTTTTTCCTCTGAAGTTTAGTGACTGTCACTTTTTATAAAGTATTTTGAAATAGTGAATGTGTGGAAAGTACAAAAGTAATGTATCCCTTTTGCTTCTTTCAACTCAGGGAAGGTTGAAAAACACAATGAGCTTTATGCAAATATCAACAAAATGTAAGGATAGTACTGAAATAAACCCATATAGACAGTTTACTGTATAAAATGGGATCATAACTAATTTTCTGTTATGTATGCGGAGCTTTATAAAGTTTTCAAGAAACATGAAGTGTGTTGATAAGTCGATACATTGTTTACTACAGTTTTTTTGTGGTGGGATGTTTTTTTCTTCTTTCAAATCATAATATGAGGGAGTCACTGGTCACTGGAAGATCATTTACTGTGCTAAGTGCAATACTGCTTTTCCCAATTTATTGATTTTTGGGGGTTTTTTTGGCTTTTTTTCCTGCAGCGGAGAAGAATTAGAATATAACCTGAAAGACCTCAGGCCAGCAACAGATTATCATGTCAGGTGAGTCAGTGTGACTATGAATGTCACTTAAATGCAAACTCTTCAATTACATGAGAATGAATGTGAAAGTTTTTTATCTAACTATACAGTGTAGCTCCAGAATTTCATGGTCGCCTCTGTAGGTTTTTTTTCAGTGGCTTCTAAATATTTTCTGATAGATTTTTATCTCAGACTTTACGTTATGAGAGTGCTTTTTGAACAATACATTTTCTGCCATTGCTATAATAAGAGGAAAAAAGGCATCTGCATATCTATATTTCTGTCTGTGTGTATAACAGGCCTGGAAGTGCTTGTGTATGAACATCGGATACCTCAAGCTTCTTAAAAATTTGACTTAAGCAACTGGCATTTCTTCAGTTCTTGTAACATAGGTGTGCTAGCACTGAAAGTTATCTAGCATAGTTTCTTCATAAATGCTCCTTGCTTTGTGAAGTAGATCTGCTGATTACAGATCCATCAGATCGTAGTAATTTCAGCATTTATTTTAAAAAAAAAAATAATTCACACTGACCTGCCTTGATATTTTTGTAGCGTATTTCTCCTTAATTCTAAAAATGTGTTTGACACGTTTATTAACTATTAACACGTTCTCAGTTTTGCTCCCTGATGTTTTTAACACTGTGCTGCTATCTGCTCATGTTGCATTTTTATAAAGACTTTCCTTATGAACCAAGGCTTCAAATTCACATCCTGTTCACTTATGCTCAATATCCTTTTAAAAAGAATCCTTTCATTCCTGTGTATTGTTTCCTTCTGTTTTTCCAGACAAGGGCTAAGTTTGGCATGCTTGTTCATGTCAAGGCTGCTACCGTTTGTAAAACTTTAAAGAACAAACACTTTGCTTCTGAGCTCTAATAAAGACCCAACACCAAAATGTGGCTGTCTTGCTCTGATGTTATAGTTTCTTTTTTTTTTTAAAGGGTATTTGCTAGTGGAGCCCTAAAATGAACTTTTCAAGTAGAAGCACAGCACCAGAAGTAACTTCTTGTAAATAAGTAAGAGGCCCAGGCTCTGAGGGTGGGCAGTAGTCCCAGCCCTAGCAGCAAATGGATGGTAGTGAGGAGGAGAAGGTTGTAAAACACTGCTGAGCTTCCTGCTGTAAGCAATTGAGCATCACTTTTAAAGCCAGCTTCAGTCAGCACAGCGGTCGCTGCGTGCAGCGTGGCACTGAGGTCTCATGCCGTTTTTGGGGGTGTTGGGGGTATTTGCCCCGTGCCCTGGCCGACTTCTTTCTCCCTATCTACAGGTCCTGCCGCCTTCCTGCAGGTTTGCCAAATTATAAATTGTTTGTGAGCAGTTAGCAATAATTCTTGTTTAAAAAGAAGTGACTGCCAAATACAAAAGTCAGACTTAAAAAGCAGCAGCGTGCGTTTGCAGTGGAGGGAACCGGCACCGAAAGGGGCGGCCGTTTGCTTCCCATGGCAGTTTCTTTCTCTTCACTGAGACCGCGTTATGTATTAACGACTGTGAAGGAAGAAATCTGTTAGGTAAATTTATGTGGCCAGCAGTTACTCAGCAGACCGCCTTGGGTCTCCTTGACCTTGGCAGCATCTCTCAGGGCTTTGTCTCTACTCAGAGAAGCTGCTTGCCCTTGCTGCTGCCCCACGGGGCCCTGGGCACCCAGGACAGCCTGGTTTGCTCTGAAGCCACCTCCAGTGTTTCTTCAAGTAGTAGTATTTTGGTAGCTTCAGAGATGACTGTGCTCAGCATTTCAGTGATTTTCAGAAGATGCTCGTTGAGCTCATTTTCGCATGGTTGTATTCCCCGATGGGGGGGTGTGTGTGTGATGCTTAGCTATGCTGATTTCTGGCACACGCACATACCATTTGCCAGATGCAGGTTCAATTAATTAATTGCATTTGTTTTCACTCCTGACTGCTAACAGGTGATGGGTGAAGCAGCACTATAGCAGTTCTTGTGAACCTCCCCCTGAAAGGTTTGATTCTATGTAGGTGGCCATTGTACATAAATTACTCTTATCTACTGAAAACAAATTTAGAAATTGCCTTTCTTAAACTCTGCATTCAAATACACAATAGCTACAGCCAGCTCAGAGGTCATAGTCTGGTCATGGTTTGAACGTTTTTTTGAGTAGAAGACTTCCAATTTGCACTTTTCTTTTGCTGAGTGGATGAAGGGAAAAAATAACATTAATTTTTCAGAGAAAAGCACCTTGTGAGGAAGTGCTTAACTATATTGTATTTGCTTTCCCACATTGCTTGGTATTGTGTATCCCCCTCTCTGCTGATACATAGAGGATTTGCCTCAAATCAAATATACTTTGAATGTTGGGGTTTTTTTAATTTATCAGGGCAATGTTCCTGAGCTGTGTTGGTTCTAATTCATGGAAGTCCACAAAGTGTTGACACCTGGGCTATGTAGGAGAAGCTCATACCCATGGAAGGAGACCAGTAGTTACCACCACTCAACATGGTACACTTGAAGTATAAACCAGGCATTAAAGTTTATACCTTTTTCTCATGAGTTCGTACTTTCTGTTGTATTTTGAAGAGGATTTGAGCACAGCATGTGAAAGTCTGGCAATAGCCAAGGAAATAGTGGTGGAAAGAAAAGATGATGATAACTCAGTGGTGTATGGGAGAATTTGCAGAAAACACTGTAATATTCCTCTTCTGCTGTGAATTTTTTTGCATACTTGTATCAAGTGAAGTAGAATAATGATAGCCACTGGTCTGTGAGAAATCTGTCATTAGTGGATGATACTGTGGCTGCTTTGGTAGCCAACTATTGTGGCTGAGGCAGTGCTGTCTCATCTTGTAGCTGTCAGCAAATATTTAATGCATTTGAATATGTCCATTTCCAGGGTATATGCAATGTGCAACTCAGTAAAGGGATCCTGCTCAGAGCCAGTAAGCTTCACCACTCACAGCTCAGCACCAGAGTGTCCCTTCCCACCCAAACCCTCGCACAGGACCAAAAGCTCCTTAACCTTACAATGGAAGGTAGGTAATGCTTGGATCAGGCAAGAAAACAGAGAAAAATAGTTTTCTGACAGCGAGCATAACTGTTGAAAATAACTGAAAGTTGAGACAGTCATTTTTCAGTAAGAGGCTTGAACTTGCTGTACTCTGACAAATCCCTCCCTGTGCACTGACTTGACTTTTAAAATGTGTGTGTTTCATTACGTTCAGCTTCTTGGTATTCGTTAAGAGGTTGCCAAGCTGTGCGCGAACCCCAGGCTTCGATTTCACTTTAAACTGTAGTCATTTGCCTGGAGGGGGAAGTAGTTTTCCCTTATTCCCAAAATCACCTTCTGTTTATTTTTGTTCTTAGGCACCCATTGATAATGGTTCAAAAATCACCAGCTACCTTCTGGAGTGGGATGAGGTAAGTAGTAACTAGTTGAAATAAATACATAAATAAATGGCGCTCAGACTTTACAAGGACTTGCTGAGTAAAGAAAAATAATTTTTGTGAGAAAGTAGAAGTAGGAAAATGAAATCGTGATGGCATTAGGTAGAGTTGGAAAGGTGAAAGGGGCAGTGGGAGGAAAACTTTTCATTCAGTGTATTTTATGCAGAGACAATGTTCTACTTCTGTGCTCTTGAAATGTGACTTTTTATCACTCAATTGATGTACTTAATTTCTTAATTAGCATTGCTTATTATTTAATTACTTGTGATGTATCTTAGAGGTCTGTTCATGATCTCTTCTTCTGGATGCTGTCAGAGTGCAGAATAAAACACTGTTCCTGCCTCAAAGGAGAAGAGGCGTCATCTTGCAGCCCCTTCTACAGGGTCAAAATAACAGTGTGCTTTACATCATGGCAATTAGTCCCCTTCCAGATGCAAAAGGAAATAAGTTCTCTGTCCCAAATATCTTACATCGTTAGTGAGCAGCGTGCTGTCACAGAGAGTGCCAAAAGCAAGAGATACGGAGTATTTGCTGGAGGTGGGTTCTGGTTGGGAGTCCTTCCTCCATCCCCTGATTCCATTCTGCCTCCTTTCCATCGTGCAAACCGTATTTCTGCAGAAAGCATGAGTCAGTGAGGATCATCTTTGAAGGAAAAAATATGTATCGGGTGACAGAAAAGGATTGGGCAACACATAAAGTAAAAAAGAGATAAATCAGGAAATGAAGAGTGTGAAGGAATGTTTAGTTGTAGTCTGAGAAACTTCTCTTGAGGTTTTTAGTAGTCTAAAAATAATGTTTTAAAGGGAATATTCTGTTATGAATCGTTTTTCTTCCTTTCACTAGTAACATCCAGATCATTCAGTGACATGTTGGATGTTTGGAACCACTCACTGTGCAAACACTTATTGTATGCAGTGTCACAGCAAGTGGGTCTATATGATGAGAAACCCACTGTACCTAAAATGAAACAATAATTTCAGAATGGCTTGCTGCCCCTGTCTGCATAATGGAAGAGGAAGGGTTGTCAGTGAAGAAAGGAAAAATGGAGGGCAGGGTCTGGGAAAGGAGATTAAAAAGACATTTCTCTAAAAGGATGGGCCAAGATGATCCCATTGCACCTTCTCTGACACCCTGACCTTGCAGTTGTGATGTCTTTCAAGGCTTCCAGTAACTTAGAGCCATGAGGACGTCACAGCACCAAGCAGTGAAGCTGTGGAAATGTGAATGTTTCCAGCCTGCTAAGGGAAGGGAAGCAACAGAAGGTCTTGTCAGAAGAAATACCGACAACAGACCATTAGTACAGTGCAAATACTTTTGATGTTAATTTTGTCAACATGGAGCCTAGTCATAATTTTGGATAGATGTAAGGCAATTCCAAAATGTTCGTATCCTTTAAACCCTTTAATACTGAGTATATACCTAGACTCTTGTCTTCAGAAAGAATTGTTATGCTGTTTTTCACAGGGCAAAAGCAGTTTGGTTTAGGCTAGCTCATGTAGCAATGGGAAAAAATGAAGGCATCCTGATTCTCTTAGTCTATCTGTGTTGATTACCTTGTTTTCTCAGTCTCGAAATCTGAGATCCCGGTTGATAGCTAGCCAGCAAAGATGAAAGAATAATGGCCCAGCACAAATTAATTTGGTACATCTCCAGTGGTTTGACATGACTCCTGACTGAAACGTAGTTGTCCAGTTGTGAGATGGTTAATGCCACAGGTGTAGCTTCTCTGAATTTTTTTTTTCCTCTGATGTGAGACAGAAATTAAAACTTGCTGAATTAAAACTTGCTATTAAGGCTTATTAAAGAAAAAGTCTGAAGAGGCAGGCTGGGTGTGCCTGCGTGTGCAGGAGCCTCATCTGCCTGTGACGACGAGCTCAGCAAGCTGTTCCACGTGCTTTTTCATGTGCTGTTGCAAGCTGTGCCTCCGACGTGGGGTGTAGTTGGCTACTGGAGTTATGGCACCCAAGTACAAAAGGGAATTCACTTGCAGTGCCCTGTACCCTCGCACTCGGTTGTGTAAACTCCACGTAAGCAAAAGCACCGACTTTGTTACAATGCCACACTGTGTCCCGGTGAAATCGAGAAATAAATACATCAGGGAAGAGGAGAGCTCTTGCCAGGCAACAGCGAATTCTCTGCCAGATCTCAGCTAGAGCAACATTCATTAGCTACAGGGCACAGAATAAAATATAAACACGGGAAAATCAGCGATCAGAAGGAAATTAAATTGTGGCTGCAAAGCAGAGCGGGCTTTGCATGAGTGGAGAACAAGAAATTTATCTGATGATGAAGTTAGAACAACACCCTAAAATGGCAGTGTGCCTTGAGAAGTTGAGTCCCTTTGTAGGGAAGGGTAGTGTGCGAGGGAGCCATGGAGAGCCCTCCTAGCACAGAAGCAACGTGCAGATCCTGGAAAGTCGTTGTGCAAACACTGCAGCCTCAGACTATAGAGACAAAACTGGCATCGGGCACGGGAGACGTGGGGAGTGGTGGAGGTGGTTGGGCAAGCACATCCAGCTGTATCCCAGGCATGATGGTGTGTTCCTCCAGGATGGGCACCTCTGCTCCAGCTGTGCCTCCTGCTAAGAGAAAGGCTCCAGCAGCAACTTCACCCTCCCACACGGTGGGTGACAGGTTGTCTCTTTCTGGGGTGATTCAGATTTGAGAGCACCTTAACAGTAGCTCAACTAGTTCCTTCTGTTTCTACAGGGCATTTATTTTACTGTATCTTGATGAGAATAGATGCAGTACTGTTCCTGGGCTCTGATTGAGCTGTCCTTTCTCATAGATAGTTTAAAAATTTTCTGTCGCCTCCTTAGAAGAGCTTTAGATAAAACACAAATGCACTTGTTTCTTCACTGGAATTAGGTGCTGCTGTATTCTGACCTACTTTGATGAGGAGAAGGTTATGCTGCTTAATATATGCCAGTCCTACCCAACTTCTTGCTCTTCCACTTCAGTTCTGAGTTTTGGGGTTTTTCCTGACTGACAGACTCTGGAAAAGAGAACAGTCAATAGTTAAAGATAATATTTCTGTTATTCCACCTTTTTGCCTCTCAATTTGGATTAAGTTGTTTGTGATGTGACTGGTGTTACATGTTATATAGAAAACACAAATTCTTTCTCAGTACTGGCGTAGTTCCTTGAATTATAGTTATAATGCCTTGTTTTAGCTTAAAATGCCAAAGAACTACAGAGAACAATCTTTGTTCTTTAACAGCAGAGTAAAAAAGATCAGTTCAGCAAATTGTCACTCTGGAAAACTGGACACACACTAGCAAAGTTTCCATTGACTTCAAAGGAGTTAGTCAGGATCAGCCCCTCTTCGCAGGTATTTTGGAATTTGGTGGCATCTGGACATGCCTGCACCTCAGATGCTGGGATTGGCAATAGTAGTCTGGCAATAAAATCAGCTAAAATTAGTAATTAAAAAAACCTCCATGTTCTGGCTCTTTTTCTATGAACTTTACAAACCTGAACTAGTCAGTTGACAACTTTGTGCCAGAGTTGATTATTCAGGGTAAGCAGAAGGCTAATCGGAAAAAACAGCGTTAAAAATAGACCAAACAGAAAACATCACTGGAAAGGAGGTGATGCCTTCTCCTGATGCCAGCGTTCATCAAAGTCAGTAAGCTGTAACTGCATTGAAAAACGCCGCTGGCACTGCTGTAAGAATCAGGCCTTTGTTACTAATTAGATGTGAATTGATCATTTTGTGATTAAGTGGCAGTAAATAAATGTTTCTCTTGTGCATATGGATAGCGAGAGTATCCTATTCATTCTCTATGGGAAAGCGGAGGACTGTTCCTGAGCCAGAGACAAGGACATCCCTCTCATGCAGTGTGTGTCGCTGTTTTGCATATAACTCAAAAGCAGCTTTAATTCTGATTCCAGTAATCATCTCATTCTAATTTACTCAAGAGAGAAACGGACACAATACCACACTATTTAATGATTTGGTGATGGCGAGTTCAGAATTAAGTTTATATACAGATAAACAGAGATAATTTTGGAGATAAACTTCTCAAGGCTAGCAGAGGTGTGCTCATTTACACTAGCTGACAGTCTGCACCCATGTGTCTCAGTGATGGTCCACCAGAATTCAGATACACGGAGTTCTACACTCATGCTTGGACACGTGTTTGTTCACCTTCCTACCCTCTAGATCTGTTTGGTGCCTGTGCCGCTCCTAGGAGACATGCACAAGGAGTCTTGGATAAAATTGGGTTTTGTGTATATTTTAGGGATGTTCCATAGGTCCCGTTCTGTCTTCTAAATGCTCGTTTGTAGAGACAATTCAATCACTTGTATAGGAGCCTGCACGGTAAATGCTTTGCAGAGTTATTGGATTGTGCTGTGCTAATTGTTGACAGTTTGCTCCACAGCTTTGTGTCAGATTGAATATCAGTCTGTTGCTTTTTATTGCCCATATGAAGCAAACGCAGAAGTTAACACTGGCATGGCCTGCAGCAGATTGCCACCGTGCCTCCCGGTTGCAGATCTGGTGCTGGCAGCTTTTATCCAGTCTGTTGCAGAGAGGTCTTCATAGATTTCATAGATTTCATGGATTTCTAGGTTGGAAAAGACCTTAGAGATCGAGTCCAACCGTCCCTAATCCCCATTAAACCATATCCTTAAGATCATCCACCCTATTCTTAAACACATCCAGGGATGGGGACTCAACCACCTCCCTGGGCTGTGAAGGACTGCGCTGTTTCTGCATCCGCTGTACCTGCAGTGGCCCATTCCTCCTTTTGTGTTTATTTGCTACGTCTGCTGCAGGGAAGGCACTCAACAAAACGCATTTAAAGATCTCATAACTCTAATCTCAATAAATGCCATCTCCACAACACACCTAAGCGCTCTGTTTTGGTGAGTGCATAGCTTGAAATAGAGCTGAAACAGCAGGCAAAACTCTTAAAAAGTGTGTTAAAATGCTGGGTTATAGTATTGTGCAAATTCGAACAGATTTGTTGAGCTGAATTGTTCTTGTTTCCTCAGGCAGGCCCTGATGATCGTCACAGTATGGGTTGTCCTCGTGAAGAATAGGGAATGCAGCTGGAGCAAGCAGGGCTAGTGAAGAAGTCAGTGTCTGCTCTCCCTCTGAAATTTGTGGATTAGAAATATTTGCGGAAATGATACAGTGTATTTTAAGCAACTTACGAAACATTATTTAAAGGATTAAAACTTGGATGCCGAGTTTGCAAAGAATAGGAGGAGGATTCTGGGAAAGCTGTAAGGCTCTTGGGTGGCAGCCAGTACCAGCCTGCCAGTTGTTCCTGTCTATAATTATGCCAGCATTAGTGCTTTCATAAATCTTGGGAGAGAAGGAGTGGAGGGACTATTTCCAGGCTATTAATGCCAGGATAATTAGAAATATCGGCCAGCCTCTCCAATTAGTGCCAACAGAATCCAAAATACCAGCCAGTCTGAGTAATTTGAATACCAGTCAGTCTCTGAGCGAGTCTGGGGAATGTACAATACCAGTTATAGAAGAAAAACATATACAGTATCCGAATTTGTGCTGTTATAAAGTTGAGGATAACATAAACGTTTGGCAGTCTTTGCAAAGTGTTAACCCACTGGTTTGACAAACTGGGAGTTTCCTTGGTCAGTTGCTCTCAGTTCAGGCACTGTGCTGCAGGTGAGATTTTCTGACTTTTGTTTTTAGCCAGCCATCCCTGTTCATCTATTCGTCAATCACAGACTTAGCGTTTGGTCACTTTCTTCTCTTGGAGAAAAAACGTAGGGAAATTGTAAAAAAAATACGTTCTTAAGCAGAAAACAAAAATAGATTAAATGTTTTCAAATTATTTACAAATCGTGAAGTTATTAGAGAGTTAGAGAAGAACTAATTTAATGCATCTAAACCTATAAAAGAGTTTGCATAGGGGAAAAAAAAAAAATCTGTTCTTAGCAGTCTACACTGATGACTGGATATTTTACCAAAATGTAGAATTACTAATTAGGTTTTGTATAGTCTGGATTTTAAATATGCTATTGCTGAGCTAGGAGGTGTGATGACCTATTATTTTTGTTCAAAAGGAGTTTTGTGATATAACTCTATATCTAGAGATTTTGGATCCAAAAAAGTTGTCTCATTTACAAATGACTTTAGCTTTAGGATTTATGATTCTCTTCCAGTTCCACTCCTTAATTTACTTGAGCCATATGGTAATGCTACAGCTGGAACAAGTGGGTGAAGTTGAATATTGTGTTTAAAACCAGGTTCTAGAACAAGTGTAGGATCATACTGTATAAATAAAAGCAAGTTATGGCTGTTTGCCAGTGTGCTAAATGTCTCTTCAGTGCCTCCAAATTGTTGCACTGTGCTGGAGGTCTGCGTGATCGTTTCTGACTTGATAAAAATATTTTGGAGACTTCCTACAATATTTTATGGAATTCTTCCTTCTGAGTTGCAAGCCGAGTGAAAAGAAGTGGAAATTGATGGGGGCTGGAGAATGTATAAAAAAAAATGTATGTCCCACTTCGGCATTTTTGAGATCTTTGATGATGAGGTGATGTATTGAGCGTGGAGGAAGAATGGTGTGTGGGAGGACAGACAGAGCCGAGGAGGCAGCCACAGGTGAGGCTGTTGGTCATAGTGAGGGACACTGTATAAATAATTTTCCTGTTAGTCTGCTTGGGTATGGAAACATGGAGTCTTCTGTCAAGCTGGTGTATATTCAGGTGAAATAAGTAGTCTTGTCTACAGGCAGATGTTAATTTTGCAGAGATAAAATAAGAATTAGAAAGTGTACAGACAGGTGGCAAAAATAGTAAATGGCATAGCAGTGCTCTTGAGTCAGAAGAAGCTGCAGAGATGGGCGTAGCTATCTCCTGCACCAGTGTGAGCACGTGGGCATGCTTTGCTAGGTTTCTCTTCTGGTGTGCTTTTGGGTACTTTGTAATGTTGTGGTTGATTAATTTTGCATTCAGATATTGAGATTAAAAGTCCTTTAAACAGCTACAGCTCAAGTAGATTTTATTTATGTAGAACCGAGCAGTCTGGGCCCTTTTCCCTGCAAGATTTCCAAGTGACCGTTTTCTGTGTGTGGTGTAGGATGAAACTGGTTTGTTTGTTGTCTTGAGGTCTCTGCCCTTTGAAAAGCTCAGCTTTGTTTTTACCCTAGGGCGTACCAAGTCATGTTGGATTGAAAAAGTTTTTGGTTTGTTTTAAATGTGGTGGGGAGGGAGAGAGCTCCTGAATGTCCTTGTCCTCGGCTGTCTTGCTTTGTACTTGATGAACCTGAGGTAGGACTTGGGAGCTAGAGGTGTCTTGATACCCTCTTTTACTGCTGCTCCATCTTGGCTTTGTCAGGGCTCATCATAGCTCCAGGTCACATCGGTGTGAAGCTCCCTTATACTGTGCCTCTGGCATATGAGTTTCCTAACAAAGTTGCGTGCTTTCCAACAAATCCTCTTTGCTCATCGCATGCCGGGTGCTCTGAGCGATGAGATGGGTACAGAATCTGGCATGTTAAATACTCCCCCGTGATGAGTAAATCTATTTAAGCCCTGGAGGGCATGGGGCTGAGCAGAGGGTTGCACCCAGGCTTGTCCCTCTCGGTGGCAGTCTGGGCTTGGCCGCGGGCTGGCCGGCGGAGAGCGAGAGCCCTCTGGTGGGATCGAGGCCTTGGGAAGGACCAGGGAGAGCTGACATGGGCTCCGAGGCGCAGAGGGTAGCGCTTGCAAGAAATGCTGCTCGCAGCTTTCCTGTGCTCCTGTGACCGAGATTAATTTCACCCTTAACTTGCCTGGTTTTGGTTAATGAGTAGAATAAATTGCACTTCAAGTAGGATGACAGGAGCTGTCGATACGTCTGGCGCAGATGAGAATCTGAAGATACGGATCTGCAAAGAGGAGGAATCCGAGAGCAGACTGACTGCGTTCGATCCGTGTCGGTTTAGGGAGCGTCGCGATGCTGTCAGTGCCTTACACAGCTTGCTTTGCACAGTGCCTGTGTGAAAGCATCTCGTTCTAATATCATTGAGCAGCTCTTTTTAAAAGAAGCACCGTGTGGTTTTAGTCTCATAGCTATCCGCTTACAGATTGCTCTCTTTCTAGGGAAAAAGGAACAGTGGTTTCAGAGAATGTTACTTTGGAAGCCAGAAGCATTGCAAGTTGACTAAGCTCTGTCCGGCTTTGGGTTACACCTTCCGATTAGCGGCTCAGAATGACATCGGTACGAGGTAAGTTCTCCCAAGGTACACACTTTCTTGAGAAAAGGTGGTAGCTGAAAAGTTTAACTATCAATGACAATGTAAAGAAGAATTTCAGGAGGGGATTTTTGTTTGTTTGTTTTTTCTCTTTCTGGTTTTGAGTTAAATATCTGACATTTCCTCTGTTATTAGTACTTTAGAGTTAAGTCACGCTTTCCCTGGTGGTGGTGTTGACCTCCCAGGGAATCACCATGTACCTTCAGCATGGTGAGGTTAGCCTGAGAAGATAGACTCCTTTTGAGGTGTTAAATGGTGTTTTGTGATCTATTCCTAATACAAAAAGAATACACCTGTTATGTAAAATTCCCACTAGGGACCTCTGTGACCCAAGAAAAACAAGCAAGAGGAAGTCGAGTTACGGATTTTGAAAGGAGACTCGATGTATTTATTTTTTTCCGGTTTAAAGAAAAGCCCTTCTGTCGTTTTTTTCAGCAGTACAGTCCCTTCCTTCTTCCGCAGAGCTGGCTGGTGGGGTGGGAAAGAAGGGTGGGAGAGCCAGGATCGAGAGGGGATAGGCACAGCCAAGGGCCCTGCAAGATGAGTTTCAAGTTTTACTGGTCTTTGCACGTGAACAGATGCTCTCAAACGAAGATGTTGAGAAATCAGACTTACTGCAATCCTCCGGGAGCTCCTAGGGAGCGCTGGGCTAAAATGTTACGTAGCTGAGGACCAGAGCGTGCCCAAAGGGACATCGCGCTGCAGGGACTGTGTGCCCATGTCCTCACGGAAGGAACATAGACCAGGAAAAGTTTAGCTGTGAAGAAGCTAAACATCCAGTGCTCTTGTATCCTCTTTTATTGTCCTCCTTAGCTAAACAGGATCTAATCGTTATTACAAGAAGGACCGAAAAAGAAACACGAGGGGTATATGACAGTGTGTTGCTGAGGGAGATTCCTGTCTTGTTCTCTCTTCTAAAACACATACCTTTTAGTAATACATATCTTTTAAAAAGTACTTTATTCATATTCCTGTTTTTCCCTCTGAGATGTGCTGGCTGTTCGCGTATGCCGACTTCTTGCAAGATTACTTCCCTCCCTATTGAAATAATACTTGAACTGGAGAAAGAGAGACTCGAGCTGGAGCTGCCGAGTGTAAATGGAAGGGGACTGCCTTTGTGCAAAGTTCTCAGTTTCGGCATCTCTTCTCTTTGCTGGATTCCAGTTTTTTAACATATCTTAGGCTATGCTTTAACCCTTCCCCCCTCCTTTTTTGTTGTTCCTCTCTCTCTCTTTTTTTCCCCAGGCTATTGAGGGAGTGGACTAAGAACTGTATTTATGGTCAGCTGCTCTGTGTTAATCTACGAGATAAGCACCAACAGCACGTGGCTTATTTTTATAGACAGCACTCAAAATTATGACTTGATAATGTAATCTAACACTTCCTGTCATAAGATGGTTATGGTTGGTTATAATGCTTGTGGACTTACCATTAAAGATGATCTTTGTCTTGTTCAGGTGTTAGTTATAGGTGGATTTTTTTAACTATAAGAATACGTAAGTTTTGAGAAAGAAAACTCAGAAAAAGGAGATGTGACTTTTTGTGTGTGTTAAATTCATGGAATGAAATTGCTGAGAAACAAAATACATTTGTACTTTGGAAACAGAGATTGAAAATTGCAAGAAGGTTACCTTCAGTTGACAGTTCTGATCTTGCCCTCCTGAAAGTTCATCAAAATCTGTCCGTTTTAACTTTGTTCTCAAATTTCCTTTGTCCATAACATATTGTGCATGGAATCTTAAGAGAACTCTCCCTACGCTTCTTTGACACAACCGCCTTTTACATTTCAAGGCATTGTCTGCTGGGATTTAGACAAGATGAGAGTATTCATCTCCTCTGCCTTGGATGTTCTCTCTGGTTGCAACCCGAGCTGTGCAAAAGAGCAACTTTATGCTCAGCTTCAAATGCAAGGAAGTTTGGGCAGGAAGGTCAGATAGGAGTAGAGCCAGCCTGGAGGGTTGGAAGGGATCTGTGCTTTCAGCAGACGATTCCTATGTGATGCTGAGCATGTATGGTCATGACTGGATAAATTTTCCCTACTTTATTTGGAGGGGAATTCAGTATCCAAAAGTTGAACACTTCGGGCTTTATGTCCTATGTTTTAGTTCCGCTTTGTTAAATGAGATTTTGCTTTATTTCATAGTTAATAGTAAGTTAATATTTTTGAGGCAATCAAATATTATTTTTTTCCAATATTATTATTATGAGATCTGTAAAAATGACTGCAAGGACAGATATAATCCTGCATTTTTTTTCTGCACTTAATTCTGGCATTTCCTAACTGGGTGCTCATCTTTTCTTTCTGGGCAATTTTAACATTGCCTAGATTTTTTGAAAATGTGAAATATTTCTCTTAATACACTGAGGTTTGGTTTTGGGGGGTTTGTTGTTGTTGGGATTTGGATTTTTTTTTTAATATTCCTCTCTCTCCTTCTCAATCCCTGTGCAGTGGGTACAGCCAGGAGGTGGTATGCTACACTGCAGGTAATATTCCTCAGACCCCTTCTGCACCAAGGCTTGTTCGAGCTGGTGTTACGTGGATCGCGTTGCAGTGGAATAAAGTAGAAGGATGTACACCAGAGGAAGTGATTTCCTACACCCTGGAAATTCAGGAAGAAGATAATGTAAGTACTGTGTTACTATAAAATATACTGCATGACTTAGACTGAATTTTCATTTATTAATTCAAGATCACAGAGAAGATTACAGATTGCTGCTTTGAAGGGTCTTTTAGGAGTACTGGGTACTTGGCAGGACGGAGCTGTGTGATTTGTTCTGCTCCAAAAAAGAACTGTGAATCCTTAGCTGAAAATCTGTACTGTCATCCGTGATGCCTTCACAGGAGTCCGTAAGGTACAGGGCAGCTCGTCCTTCCACAGTTCAGTCTGCCGTGTGCTCACGTGTGTGGTGTGCTTGTGTTCTGTCTTCTGTCCCTTCTATTTCTGTAACGTGTGTTAAACTGTCATGATTATTTTTGTGCTTATTTTACAGCAAAATTATATTATTAAGGTCAGTTGCATTATCCTTCTGGAAGGAAAATTATTGTGGCCTTGCAGCTTAAAATTAATAATAAAAAGCACTCAACTGTAAAGCCCCTTCGCAATAATGTGTTCTAGCTACAGACTATAATACAGAGAGCACTTCCTCAGACTCCTCAGTTATGAGAATTTGTTTGTTTTTTTTTTTTCTAGGATAGCGTGTTTCACCCAAAGTACACTGGAGAGGAGCAAGCTTGTACTGTGAAGAATCTCAGAAGAAGCACGCAGTATAAATTCAGGGTAAAGTCTCTTTTCTCTTGCCATTGCATAGTATTTTCTGTGTTGGGTTTTTTCAACAGGCACTGTAGGGACCCTTTAGTACTAACTGCAAAACTGAGCTATCAAATAGAAATTTATTTTATGCTACGAACTAATAGTTTAAACCAAAATTGTATTTTCACTTTCACTACAGGAGATGCTCGTTGCTCAGCCCTTTTGAAACAGACATGGTTCTTGGTACTATGTGCTGTCAGGTGTGGTCTTGTACAAGTGTGGCTCAGGGCCTGAGGTGGTTGTAGGCAGCTGCACGGCTCCCCAAAAACATGATCTGTGATACGCACATGTGGCTGGTTTTGGAGCCCTTTTTTTCGCAAGCGTTGGCATCTCCTGCTCTGTGGGTGCTCCTCAGTACATCTGGAGCGCTGCCATCCCTCCAGAGATGGCAGGAAGCTGTCTGTAAAGCCAATGTCCACTGCGCTCCCACATTGCCAAATAGAAACGATATCTGGAAGCAGCTTCATGTCATCTGTAAATGGTGCAGGGAGAGAAGGATGCTGTAGGTTTGTGTCGAATTAAAAACATTTGGCTTCCGTAGGTGTTAGTATATTCAGGAGCAACAAAAAAAAAACATTACCCAAATACTTATTTAAATCTTTAAAAACAACTTTGCATATATTCCTTTGTGGGACAGAAGACCTTGTGAAGTTGCATGAAGAACTACTCAAAGCATCGGAAAGCTGTTGTGGGGTCACTCGGAGGTGATGCCTTTCAGTTTAGCGATGTAAAAGCTGCTGTGGCTGTCTGAGAAGAAGGAGAGTTAGTGCTTCTCTGCAGCCCTGCTTTCAAATCAAACATGGATTTTACAAAACTGGGTTGATAACGGAGCAAACTCACAGCGTTGTGTCACTGGCTACAAGCACAACTCTGATCTCACACAGCACTGAGATGTTCCCTCACTCCATGCGGACTGGCATTAATTAGCTACAGAAATTGGGGAAGGATCCCTAAAACGATAAAATAAACCCAACAAATAAAACCCAACAGAGACACCCTAGGATCACAGCAGTGTTAAAACTTGCCATTGGGGCTATCTAGCAAGTTCTTGGAGGAAACCCCTTAGTAATTAAGAATTAAAGGGGAAATCTAATTCATGCCAGACAGTTTATGCTTTCAGAGGAGGCATCCTGCCAACCTCTTTGATGAAATAAAGATTGATTAATTAAAGTGCCAGTGGTAGAATAATACACCATCATAAAGGCATTTGTTCGGTTTGGCACAGAAGGGCAAATGATGCCAAACATAACACGACAATTTCATTCTCTCACGTGTTTCACATGTCAGTGTAGAAGGGAATCGCCAATGGCTGCGTCTAGCGAGGTTCCACAGAAAGCAGTGCTGGTATATACTATTTCATAATTTTTTCGGTGAAACCTGGAAGCAAACAAAGTTTTGGTTTTATTCCTAGTAAGAGGATGGGGGACTGTAGGTTGGGAAGCCGTGGCTCCAGAAAAAGTGTTGAAGATCCTGCTTGAACAATCAATTTAACGTGAATTTTCAGTTCCTGCCAGGCTAGTGCAATCTTTATCTGTACAAACAGGGGAATTTGTAAATACTGCATTACCTTTGTAGCTCACACCGATCCCCTAGAACACCTACTGGGATATATATTTAGTTAGTTCGTGTATCTGATGCTCATGGCAAGATGTCTTAAATTGGAGGATAGTCAGAGAAGACCCAAGAGATGATACACAGGAGTTGGTACTGGCTTTAGTGACTTGTTTAAAAGCAAGCATATGAGCTAGACAACCTCAATTACTTTCTTGGCCTTAAAAATTACAAATAGTTTCCCTCAGACACCTGTGTTAGAAGACAGGATAAAAGTGACTGCTCCTGAGAATAACAGAGCTTCCCAAGTGGAGAAGTTCCTGATGGCTTGTATTTACAATTAGCAATTATACTACATGTTTTATGGTTCACTTCTTTGGCAGCAGATCTCTGTCCCAGAGATTAGCATGAGCTAATACAGCACTCAGCAGCCACAAAACGTGGGACCATTTGGGGTTTCTTTGTATGATCTTGATCTGCTCACTCTCCTGGCCATGTCCTCGTGCCTACTCTTAGCTTAGCAGCCTTCTCCCTGAAGTCAGCAGGAGGTGTTCTTGAGTAGACGAAGGATTTGGCTGAGAAAGTTTGCTTCATGTGCATCCTGCTCGTTTCAGTGCCTGTAGATTACACCTTTCTTGTTTGCATGTCTTAAGCTTACTTAAGCTTTTAATTGTGTGATTACTGATACTCTGAATTAATTTGTTTTAAACAGCAACTTGAAATACCTCCAAAATGAAAACAGCATAGTTATTGTCATTATTCTCATCTTTTATGAGTAAATAACTGCAAGTTGCCATGTGGCTCTTTTTTTAAAGGGAAGAACAGCAGTGCTCTTAACTTAAATGTATCATAATTTATTGGAGGGAGGGGAAAAATCAACGTGGTCTGTAAAGAAAGAATGTGGCAGTCTAATATCTGTTATTAGAATCCCACACACTTTTTTGGGATGTGACATGCTTTCCAGTTTAATGATGTTTGTGCAATTACTGAAAGAAATCTCATGCAGAACTGTCAGAAAAGCAGTTACAGTAAACAATGGTAAACTCCTTGTGGTTTTGTTTCAGCTGTTTGCTTCTAATGTGGAAGGAAAGAGTTCTCCCAGCGAAGTGTTGGTCTGTACAACGAGCCCAGACAGGCCAGGACCTCCGACCAGACCCGTTATTAAGGGGCCGATAACATCTCACAGCTTCAGTGTGAAGTGGGGTAAGCCAGTTCAGGTTTTTTGGGTCATAATAAATTCAAATAAAATCATGTAATTATGTGTTAGAACTTAGGTTTTTCATGCTGCTTCTCAGTCCAAAGTTCAAGGTGTTTGGAGAGCTTGACAACTGAATTTTTTTTAATATTTTAAAAGATGTGTAGAAGCTCCTATGTTTTCAGAATCAAAAACGTTGCTTGTTTTTATTGACTGACTTGCATTCAAGTGTATCTTCAGGCTTTCACCTTCAATTTCATGTCCCATTGCCACATCATCCAGCTGCTTCCTTTATCGGTGGGGCAAGCCTCCATACCGTATCTCCTTCACTGCTTTTCCATACATCTTGTTTGTAGCATCATTATCCAGCTGATTTACTCTGACTCATGCTGAAAACTAACTTCTGCTACCCACTTCTGCTATAAATTCCTTGGTGCAGTTAGTGTGGGGGAGTTTGTGGAGGAGAAGGAACAGGATCAGAAACAGGTTCTGTAATCTTTTTGTTATATTTCACTCCTAATCTTGATTTACTAACAACTTGCCTTATTCTTTCAGATCCTCCACAGGATAACGGTGGTTCAGAAATCCTGAAGTATCTACTGGAGATTTCTCAAGGAAGTCCAGAAGGTAAACTTGAAGCAAGTTGTCGCCATTTCAATCCATTATGGCTACTGTAAAGAAGTACTGACTCTTTGGACTATTAGTGTCATTAATGTCCTAATGCCGTACTTGTAATTGAAACTAAGTTACGTACTTGTAGCCTTAAAACTTGCAGGGTTCCTGGGAGAGTTTGGGTTGGGTTTTGGGAAGGTTTTGTTGTGGGTTTTTTTGAGTACGCTCTTTTTCTTTAATACTGGTAAAATTTTAGGTTATATGACTGCACCTACTGTTTGATTTTACGTTTTTAATGCATTTTAGAAATATTGTAAGTCTATATATTGTATAGTAGTATTTGTGTCTAGGTGTATGAAGGGCTTTAAGCAAGAATAATATTCGTAGTAATATTAACACTAATGACTTTCCTGAAATATATCTTCTCTGGAAGACCACATTAAGGATTTTCTTTCCTTCTAGACACTTGTAAACTTGTTGCATTACACTTCTCTAAACTTGGATATATCTCATTTTTTAGCAAATCAATGGGAAGTGGCATATAGTGGATCGGCTACAGAATATACCTGTACTCACTTGAAACCAGGCACTTTGTATAAACTCCGGGCATGCTGTATCAGCACTGGTGGACACAGTCAGGTAAGTATTATTTAACAGTAAGGACTATTGGCTGGCTTTATATTTTTCAGAGATTTATCTGCTATTTTTGGTAAAAGATTTCTGCTTTAAAAAGAAGGTGAATATCTTTCCTATAGCACAGTAAAGCTACACTGATTGCAGTTAAATCTTATGTTGTAAGTTGATGAATTTTAGAAGACTTATCTATGTGTACCTGATGGAGTTTTTTAAGGCAAATTGCAATTTAGTGAGATTCAGTTTCCTCAAAACCAATCTGTAGTTATCTGGACTTACACTAGAAAAGACCATCATGTTTATCTGATCTGGCCACTTGCTTGAGAAAGGCCACAGACTCTCCTGTACATGAGCCTGTACTGACAAAGCTGGTGACTGAAGATGCAGTGGGGGTAGTTTGTTGTAACAGTTAATTGTCTTTCATGTGGCTGAAGTCTTTAAATTTTTGGGTTCTGTTTTCCAGCCACTGATTCCTGTCATTCCCTCCTTTGATTTAAAATCGTTTCAGTACCTGCGGTTTTATTCTTCCACCTTTTGATGTTGTGGTTTGTTTTTTTTTCTTTTTATGACTGAGTACTTTAGGCCTTGATATTATTTTAAAAAGAAGGAAAATTTAAATAAAGAACCATGCAACATTAGCCATAAAAGTTTCCCGTGCTACACTTTTGAGTATGCTAATGAAAGAACTCTATTAATTGCGTTTAGCGAGTAACATGCTTGATAGCATCTCCTATCCTTTACTGATTATATAAATTTCTATTAAACAGTTGTTGTAGAAAACAACTTCTTGTGCCACTTTCTAATTATGCTTCACTATATAGGCAATAATCATACTGGAGAGCTAATTTCAGCTCCTGTTCTCTTCCAGTGTTCTGAAAGTTTACCTGTCCGTACGCTCAGTGTTGCACCAGGACACTGCCGGCCACCAAGAGTTTTGGGAAAGCCAAAGCACAAAGAAGTACAGCTACAATGGGGTAAGCCTCTGGAGCGTCTCACTGCTGAATAGCTTTGATCTTGATGGTTAGTTGCTGGACTTGCCTTAGCTTTTATTTCTATTGCTAGACCTTGTGAAAAGTTGCAGTGTATTCTGTTCACTGGGAAGTACAAAGCAATGTCCAGCAAAGTCTGTGCAAGTCAGAAGTGCAACTTCTCTTCAACTGCTGTGGGTTTCTGAACTTAGCTGTCCTTCAGCTGCCCTTTAGGCCTGATACTGTGCTCCAGTTTTTGTTTTAGTTAAGACCTGTTTCTGTGTCAGGACTATAAAATGTCAGCTTTATTAGAATATCTATCCTTTTATTGCCAAAACACTGTGTGATTCAAGACTTAGCAGAAGCATTTTGCTACTTCTACTGTAGAACTTCTCTCAGAAATTTGAGTTAGAACATACCGAGGATTTTAGGTGGCATTTAAAACCCTGATCCACAGTATAACACACACAATCCATTGGACACCTGTAATTTTGCAAAGGACTTGGACCATGGACATTACACTAAACTGTCAAAAAATGCACATTTTTCAGAATACAAGGTACATGCCAGCATGCAACAGATTTTTTTTCTTTACTGTGATAATCTTGCAGCATCCAAGATTCTTTGTGGTGTCATTTGTTAAGCTAAATTCTAGAGCAGTACTATTTCTAACTGGCAAATGCATCTCAAAACCAGTATAAAAATTCACCTGTGCATCCAAGATACCATGTTGTTTCCTGGAAGGCTGTACCCCTTAAGATGGAGCACTGCTTTTCAGAACCCCAGGCAGATTGATTCTGTGATACTGGCTTGTGATATAACATGCAAATATTATCAAATCCATTGTTTTCATGGGGTTCAGAACCCCAGGCAGATTGATTCTGTGATATAACATGCAAATATTATTAAATCCATTGTTTTCAGGGGAAAAAAGGCACCCACAACAGAACAGATACAGGCACAGAAAACGAATTCAGGTTCCTAAAAAGCTGTTCTTCCAAGTGAAGCACAGGGTTTGGATTATTGCACAGAGATTTAGAATCTCATAAGTGTTAACAGTGTGACTAATGAAGTTTGAGGATGGCAGTTGTTCGTATTTTTATTGGATATTAATAAGGCTTTGCCAGAAATCCAATGTATAAGTAGTAGTTTTGGAGTGTTCGTGACCCACCTCTGCCAAGACTGGGTCAGACAGCCACCATGTGCCTCCTAATTTCTCTCTGTTCTAGAAAAGGTGTATTCAGTGCTAGTCCCGTTCTTTGTGCAGCTTTCTGTACCTTTTCTCCTGCCTCACTGACCAATATTTTGCACACAACACCACCTTTGATGCTGGGAGAAAGAAGCTGATTAACTTTTTTTTATCCTCAGAAGGGGATGCGTTCTGTTTAACAAGTAGCTGGGCACCTCCTGACATCAAACACAACTTCCCAGGGTGACAGGTCATTGTTGTGGGGGAGCTGCTGCTCTTCCGTGTGACAATCTGACCTGGTGGATGTTTAGATTTAAGAGTAATTTTATTCATTTGCTTTAAAAAATGTCATCATATGACTGAGGTACCTGCAGGTAAGGTGTCTATCAAAGAGGAAAATAATCGCCGAATGCAGTTTGTGTATCTCTGTGTGTGTATATATCTGTGGTATGTGAAGTAAAAAATTAATCTTCCTGGCGTATGTCCTCATGTTATTAATGAATTATATGATTTCTTTCTAGATGTCCCTCCGTCAGAAGGTGGCTGTCCCATCTCAGAGTACAGCGTAGAAATGACAGAACCTGAAGAAGTTGTTTCTGAAGTATATCATGGTCCTGACCTGGAGTGCACCGTCAGCAACCTCCTTCCTGGAGCAACGTATCGGTTCAGAGTGAGAGCTTTGAACGATGGAGGGGTACGTCCGGCGTGCTGGAGCGAGCTTTGGCTTGTTCTCGCTGGAGGTGGTGCTGTGCCAGAGATGGGCTGTTCTGGAAAGTGATTGTGTTAGTGCCCGTGATCAGAAAGGTGAAGGGGAGACGGGCAAAAGAAAACAAAGTGAGAAATGTTTCAAGGAACTTTTGAGGAATAGCTGCAGTTTTGAATCTGGTACTCTTTTAGAAGGAGGTTTCAGGTGCTAATGTGATTTGACTGGCTGAAATCAGCTGGGCCAAAATGTGCAAAATCCCTGCTAATAGTGATACCTGCTTACAGGAGGAGTCTGTTTATTCCCCTTCCACTGCAGTCCTTTTTTTTTAATCTTAACTGTGTAAAAACAAACACTGAAATTTCACTCAGGTGTTGATATATTTTGATGAAAGTTTGCATTATTTTTGAAAAAAATACCTGCTTTATAGATCTGATGATTATTTTGTTATGTGTTATCCTTGGGAGGTGTCCCCAAGTACATCAGAAATCCTGTCTGATGTTCACGGAGATCTGTTCAAAGATTCCCGATGATTCAGTGAGGTTTGAGTTGGTTCTGCTTCCTTTGTGAGAGCATCTTTCCAAGGGTGTTTTATAAAGGCTGCCCCAGCGACAGTATACGCATATTGATGTGTTTGTTCCCAGGAAATCTTCATGACAAACATAACATAAAGGTTTAAAGTTATTCACTTACAGAGAGAAGTTCTGTTAGAACTCCACTTAGATATTAGAAAAACATGCAAGACTGTTAAACTGTTTTGTCTTTAAAATATCCACTATTTTGTTTTTGTGAAAAATGATTTAAATACACATGGAAAGATTGCATTTGCTTGCTGGAATGAAAACAATTGCTTACCTGATAGCTTTGGATATATGATAACTTGACATTTTTTCTCTCTTTTATTTTCTCTTTTTATTTTTTTCTTTTTTGACAAAACAGTGTTTAAAGTTGCAAAGTATTTCTAGTCCCATCCTTTGTTACATGAGGGGGCTGGTTTTGGTTTGATTGTGGTTTTGTTTGGGTGTTGTCACCAGATGCAAAATGGGAGGGGTTGTTCTTTGCCACATGCAAACCTTTCTTCCTCCTGTTAGGTAAAGAAAACAGCTGAAGTCAATAAAATATTTTTTTTTTGAAGTGTGCATTCTTTGTAATTCAAACAAAGAGATCAGTGTTAGCCTTTCTCGATAGCACAGATACTGACACATGTCTGTTGAGAGACTTTTTGGAGTTCATAATTTCGATGTTGCTCAGCCTTTGTAGCGTGTTTTGGTTTTTTTTTTTTTCCTACTTGCTAGTATTGCATTCCAAAATAAGTAAATATATCAGTATTTTTCCTCAAATTGCTTCCAGTGAAGTTCCTTTGTTCTGGAAAATGATTTCCAATTAGCTTGGGGATGTACTGAACAAACTTCATTATCCCACTCAAGTGGCCTCAGAAAAGCCGCTGTTTCCACCATTACCTCACCTTTGTCCTCGCACTGCTAACTGAAGCCAGTTTTCCAGACTCTTGAAATTTGTCTTTTCTTTTCCTAATATGCATTTAAATTATTCTCCTACCAAGGGCTCAGAAGTTGTCAGAGCAGTTGGCTTAGCTGCAGGTAGAGATAAGCCATGCACAGCATGTGTGCAGCGTGCCCCTGCACCCTGAACCCAGGCTGAGGCTCCATCACATGCTGTCCTTCTGTAATTAACATCTGGCAGATATTTTATGTAAAAGAAGCTGGATTTGGACTCCAGTGTGTGCTTGACTGTTGCTGTGCTCCTCCTTATCCACGAGAGGAAGCCAATTATGCCAGGCTATGGCACAGACATGCCAACACATTACTTTAAGGTAAGGTAGAGGGACACAAACTGTTCCTCACTTACTCTGTTGCTGAGTGCACGTTCTCACCCTTGGGTAAACTGGAGGTGGCTTATGCTTTCCCGGGCACTCACCGCCACACAGGAGGGTGTGCGTGCTGCCTGCTCCTACCTGAGCTCACCTCACATTTTAACTGTGCCGTAATTTACGTGGTCCCATACTGAACTCTGGTATTTGGTGCTGAGTGCCAGAAGCCTGGTCTGTCTTTAAGAAGGTTTATTGCATTGAAAAAGTTTCTGCGTGCTGTTCTTGGAAAGCCTTTAAGGAACACGAGATGGGTGCATGCTTATATATTAACGTACAGATGCCTTGTTCCCCTTGTAGTACGGGCCGTATTCGGAAGCCACAGAAGTCACCACGGCAGCAGGACCGCCCGGCCAGTGCAGAGCACCTTCCCTCTCCTTTCTGTCCAACACACGTGTACTTGTGAGCTGGGAGGTAAGTCAGGTGCCCTGATTGTTTCATTTCCATCTTGCTTATCCAAACTCAAACGGTCACTGCAAAACTTGAAAGCTGGCTTGAGAGCTATTCGGAAAGTTCCTGGTTCGGAACTTGCAGAAACTCTTCTGTTGTAGAAAATCATCATCTCTACTTTTTTCTTTTAAAGAATTGCATAAAGTTGATCATGAGTCATCCAGACCAGGGTTCAGACATGAGACCTCCTACGCTGGCGTCAGATGGTAGAGCGCTGGTCAGTAGAAGTGCTCTCTGCAGGCTTTTAGCGTGTCGGAGTGTCCTGGGGTAGAATTGTGAAGGCAAATATTTGATTTTGGCTGAAGCTGAAGTCTATGATACAAAATGAACTGTGCACAAACGCTCACAGTGTAGGTTTTTTCCTCAAAAGTTGTTTGTCTCTTCCCCAAAGATTTACTTTTATTTTAGTTTGTGTGAGTTCTGTCTCCATTCTCCAAGATCTTGGACACTAGATTCTTAAAATAAGCCTTAGCTGAAATGCTGAGGGGTTGATTGATGTCATTTAAAAAAAAAAAAAAAGTTGCGTTATTAAGGCAGAAAGAAAGATGTCATAAATAAAGTTGTCATGTGGAGCAACGGAGCTGTAGTTCTGCCACAGACTTTCTTTGAAAACCTGACAGCTCTTCCAGCCCTGCATCTGTCGGGTCCATCCTCAAAAGGATGCCCCGTTGAGAAAGCAGTTACTAATGTTCACAAGATACTCGAATAAATTGATTGTGCTAACAACATTTCTATATAACAACATAATCCGAGTTTAATTTGATAATGAAACAGATGTGTTTGATGTGGTTTGGGGGTGTTTGTTAATATTTCTTGCAACATTTTGTGATGCAAAGCTAGAAGTCGCACTGAAGCTTTTCAGAGTGTGTGGACAGACATTCGCTCTCCCCAGCCACGAGCGAACACAGCAGTGTTTCTGGTAGGCTCTGTATTTAGATGCAGGATATATTTCTTTATTCTAACTGAAAAATGAACCTGTGGAAGGAGTAATGTGGTTTGCAATGGTTATGTTTTCTTAAAGAGCCTATCATTTTGGTACGAATATGAAGGAAAAACAGCAACGGACTGTGGAGATTTTTGGCTGTAGAGCACACTGTGGTGCCTACCATGCCTTTTTTACACACTGCTTTAAAATGTTGGCTCAGCAGTTCTGAATGTTCCTACTAAACTAGCTGGAAGCTCAGAGGCAGACCTAGAGAAGCCCAGGTGCACGTGCAGGATTTTCATTGTGGCGTGCAGCGATGCTCTGATTCCTTTTACTGGAAATCAGACCTTGCATGCCATGATCACAAAGTCTTTGCCGTGTCCTAGACCACGCTTCTGCACAAAGAGCAGTGATTCCCTGAGCCACTTCAGTCCACACAGAACAGCTCGAGGCGGTTCTGGTAAAAACACAAAATACTTTGTTTTGGGAACCATGCCGTAGCTCATCTCCAGCAAATTCAGGTATTTATCCCGTGTTCCCCCAGCCTTGAGGATGATAAAGAGATTGCTGAGGACATACGGATCTCGTAGGAGTCCTTTTGTGGACATTAATGTACCCAGGTTCACACTCCTGTGTCCCATACTGGGACCAGTAGCTTGATGGGTGACTTTTGCTGAAAACCTCAGATGAGCTCCTCGCTTGCTGAGGTGGTTCTTTTCTCAGTAACATGAGTAACTGCTTCAGGCTTGAAGGCTGGCCCTTCCAGAGCTGTGTTTTGATCACTCGACTAGATGAGGCGAGATTGATGCTTTTTTGTGTTGTGCCTCAGCCAAGCCAGTGGAGAGACAATTTATTCCTGAGTGTCCTGATGTAAAGCAAAGTAGCTGCATACGCTTTCTCGTTTCTCTGAATTTCTATCAGGTAATTTTTGTGCAGAATTGGCCTGTTTCAGTAGCCTATTAGGGAACACTAATTCAGTACATCTTCATTTGCAGCAGTAATGGTGTATTAATTTAAAAATACGGGTTGTTGGTTTTTTTTCCCCATGTACTTTATTCTTTACCCAATGAAACGCAGAGATCTGAAATGCTCTTTTCTGAATTGAACCACATAAATATTTGTGTTGCAGAGTCCTGAATGTTCTGGTGCTGACATCTCTGAATACAGATTAGAGTGGGGAAAAGATGAGGAATCTCTACAACTTGTGTATAATGGCACAGATACCTGTTTTGAAATAAATGAATTGTCAGCGGCAGCACATTACTGCTGTAGGCTACAGGTATGGAAGTTAAAAGATTTTGCATGCCTCGCAATCTAAGATGTAAACAGAGTTTCCTTCTACTGTGTTTTTATTTTTATTGTTAGCCAATATGAAGTTATGTGCTCTGTAAGTCAGAAGGAATGTACGTTTCTTTTAAATAATGTAGACTGTTGCTATATAACTGAACAGTTTAGATTCTGCACAATTCAAAATTATAAACAAGGCAGTTGGTGCAACTTTTAGCTCTAGAAATTGCTCTCGTGTGTCATGTGTTTTATTTTTGGTGAATGATGCTTTTAACAGCCACCTTGCCCTCTGATATTAAAACAAAGCAGTAATGTTTTAGAAAATTAAAAAAAAATAATAATTTTTTCTTGGTATTGAGATGTAAGCAACATCTGCCTCCTGACTGGATGTTAAAGATTCCTCTAGCTTAAATAACAAACTCCAGTATCTGTTTCGTTTATCAAATAAAGCAAACCAGCTGAGTAGTTTCCTATGTATATAGGAGATGGTAGCTGCCAGAAAGTGAGTCCTCACCTTTACCATTTTGTCTCTTAGATTTGTAAGATTGGATCTCATACAGAGTCTCTAGATAATTTCTTTTTCTTTGATCTTTCTCTCGTATTATTTTCTGTAAAAAGTAACAGTTAAAATATATTTCTTATATATATTACATATGAAAATAAAAATACAGCACTTTTTCTCCTTCATGCCCACTGAAAAATAAATGGAAAGTAAAGTAAGTGGGAGTAAAGTAAAAATATTATTGCCCAAGATACTCTTCCATAACATTTATTTGTATGTGAGGACAGACTACCACCAGTAAATCTAACCAAAAGTTCATGCACCCACCCAGCTGGCAACGTGTGGACCACCCAGGGTCACTTCTTTGATCAAAGACAACATTCTTCTCTGTCAAGAGTTCCCTTCTTATAATTTTTTTTTAAACAGGACATTGAAATTTTCTTTTTTTCAATTATTTTTTTTATGAAGTAGCTTTTGAGTAGCTGTCCAGCAGCTTTGGCCCCACACATCTGAGTGCACTTGGCTGTATTTTCTGACTTGGTCATAGCTGGCCATATACCTTGCACTGGCACTCTTGGGGGAGGGGAATTAAAAGAGCTTGGAAGTGTGAGCCAGAAGGTGCCTCTTGCTTGTGCAAGAGGGAAAGCATTCAGCCTCCGCTGGGTGGGGAGGAGGCCGTGAGACCACTTCTGCGGGGAGCAGCGAGGAGCCCAAAGAGATTTTTTTAATGTTAAAAATGGAAACAGCCAGCTGTAGAGCATCTTTGATTTCGAGGGGGCATTCATTTTAAATTACCTGCCACAAAAATATTGTGCAAATCTAATTGGTTTTTAACACAGCCAATATAATTTAATCCATAGGCAGAAGTTAAAATGAAATGCACAACAGCACTAAGGCGTTTTACTGAAGTCCATCAGTGACCTGTGCGTTACTTTCTAGAGGGCTTCATCCTCTGGATCTGATCTGTGTGTTATATGGGGAAGAATTTGTTATAAGATACAATGGAACATTTAAACAATTACCAAAAAAAAAAACCAAAACAAAACAAACCTGAAGTATGTATAGCAGACAAAGAAGGAAAGTTAAATAGTTTCAGAAATGTTAGTCTTTTTTAAAAAAATAAAAAGGACAAAATAATAGCTGTTTTTCTTATCTGTTAGCAGCTTTAACAGAAAAAAAATCTTACTTTTTAAAAATAAAGATTCCTCAATGCACTCTAGTAGACACACAGGATTGCTGTCTCAATCTGCGGTAACTCAGTAAAAAGAGAGAATTGAGGAATCGGGCATATATAGCTGCAGTGCACACCATTTGTCTTTACTGTTGCTCAACTTTTTTTCTGTAATAAATATTCCTGAAAACAATTGTGACTTCTGCAAAGGGAAATATCGTGTCATTGGGTGGGGGGAGGAAGTATCTAGGAAGCAAAGAAGAATGAAATTCCCTTCAGTTATAGTTATGAGAGTCTCCAATAAAGCAGTTAAAAGCACCACTAAAAATAAATTGCTTGGAGCAAGATACAGATTGCCAAACACTGGTTTAGAGGCAAGACAAATAGCATCATTGGCAGAGGATGAAGCAAAGCTCACTTTTAACGGCTCTAGGAGCGCTTCACTAAATAGAAGCTGTCCCTGGAGCAGGATTGGCTTTGAAGGGCTTTTTAAAGGCTGACAAATCTAACTTGATTATCTGTTTCTTCAATTGAACAAAACGCCTCCTGGAAAAGCAGAACATGGTTTTGTGTTTGTATTATGCATAGCAGAAATAAGTTATTCACTACAGTTAAGCATAGATAGAAATCAAGCCATGGTTTGACGTGTCCTTTCCTTGCCATCACAGTCCTACTGGCAACGTTGTAAACCCAGGTTTTGTAATTAATTGTAATCTTTTGGGAAACTCTGGGCTCACTTTTCCAAATGCAAAGTAAATGTGGATGGTGGACAATGCTGGACAGTGTCAAAAGCTGCTTTTGAAGGTCTGTACCTTCTGGGTCTCCTGTAGCTCAGCCTATACCATGATATGCTATCGTAAGGTCTCTGCATATCTGAATACCATCTTACCTTCCTCTGCTAGCTGGGTTCCCCCTGATACAGCATGCTGGGCTGTATCAGGGGGAACCCAGCTAGCAGAGGAAGGGAAGATGGTATTGCCTGTTAAGTGCCGTTCATGAGAACTTGGAATGCTGTGTCCAGTTTTGCTACAAGCAGAGATTGAAAAAGAGATGTTCAGATGCAATACAAAGAATAAGTTATCCCTGTGTGGGCAATTAAGGGTGGTAACAGTGGTCCAGAGGGACTGTGCAATCTCCATCCTTGGAGCTTTTCAAGACCCAACTGGACAAAAGCCTGATCCTGGATCTATACGTCAAGATGAGAAGCTTCATAGTTGGTGGCTCTCCTCTCTTGTGAAAAGTATTGAGCTATGTACTTTGGTGGTGGTTTACTAGTGATCTGTGACTTCTGGGGAAATCTGAGTCATAGACCTATTGCCATGCTGAGTTCCTGTGTTCTTATATCAGAAACTTTTTAGCATGAAATTAGCTGTTCGTTCTCTGAGTTAGGAACCGGTGGAGCTCTCGGCGAGCCAAATGCCTCTTATGCCCAGGGGTACTCTGCTTGCATAAAGCATCTGATGTTGCACTCTGCAGTATGCTGAGGTTTTTATACAGGACAGCTCAACAATTCCAGGCAGCCAATTTGCTGAACAGTGTGATGTCACCTGTCACTGACAGCATGATGACTGACTTTTTCCCTTACTAAACAAAATTTGCTGCTGATAGAAAAGTTACGGTTGAGTTTGGTGAAATAGCTATTAGGGAAAAGAGAAGTCTTCTCCAGTTCATCTGAGAGATACCCCTGAGTAACAAAGGAAGATGTTAATTGCTCTAGTATAGGCAGAAGGTATGAATCATGCTATAGAAAATAACCCAGTGGTGTATATTCTCTGAAGAATCCATGCAACGGCTCCAGGCTGCACAGGGCGTTATTATGAACTCCATAGACATGTGAAAGAGAACATTTATCCTGTGAACACGAGGAGCCTTTTTTTTTTTTTTTTTGACACACAGGCTATTAACCAGGCAGGAGCTGGACCCTGCAGTGACCTGGTAACCTGCAGAATCCCCGCGTCTGTGCCTGATGCAGTCTCTACCCTCTCCGTGCTGGAGGATGAGCACATGGATGCCTGTCAGCTCTCACCCTCTGTGTGCCTTGTACTGAACTGGGAAGAACCATGCAATAATGGAGCTGAGATTACGTCATACAACATTGACCTGGGTGACATCAGCATTCCAGTAGGAAATGTTACAAGTTACGTTATCAATGATTTGCTTCCAGAAACCTCGTACCGGTGAGTACATTTTTGGTGTGGTGCAGAGCACTTGGGATGAGATCAGACAGCTTGAGTTTACATGGGAAGTACTTATGGCATGTAGCATGGGTAAAAAACAACCAAACAAATCAAATCAAACAAACAAAAAAAGAAGGACGACAGCTAGGGAGCATAGAAACCTGTGGTAATTCCTTTATAGAATGAATTGTTGTATTTCATATTCAAATACTGTTTCCCCCTCTTGCCTTTTTCCCCTTTCTCCTCTCCTTCCATTATCTCTGATCTCTCCTTCTTTTTAAGCTGCTCTGCTAAGGTAAGGTTATGCTGATAAAGAATTAAATTTTAAAAATGGGAAATAACTGAAATTAGAGTGTGACATCTCATGTTTTTTCAGAAGCTTAGCAGTACTATTCCAGGGGTTTATATTATTAACTGTATTGATCCCTGTGAGGGAATAGCAATTTGCACACAATGAACTTGTATTTGTACAGCTACAGCTATTTTTTTTTATTTCTAGCATATGGAAATTAAGTACAAGATAATCTGAGTTTAAAACCTATTTCTTTATATTGATTCCATTTATAAATTTCTAAGTGACATTGCGGAAATTTTATTGTTATTTCAATGTTCAGGTTTATATGTGTTCTCCCTAATTGCTAATTAAAAAAAAAAGATACAGTTCCATGCAGGCAATGAACAGCAATACAGTCAAAGATGTGACAAAAGAAATTCTATTTTAAGTACTGTTCTAAGAAAAACTGAAATCTAATTGCACAGTTGTAAAATTAGACATGGCACAGACCTACTGTAACATTTTTCTTTTTTTCTTTGTTTTCAGGGTCATAATATACAGGTCTTTTAGAGTTCAAATGAAAAGTTTATTTCTCAATTTTTATCATATACTGAAAAAAGATAACTTCTAGCAAGTATACAAATACGTGTACTAGAAGTTATTAAAAGCAAGGGACATATATTGCTTACAGTGCCTAATACAGTGGTTCCTGATCTTTGCTTAGAATATCTAGGTTTTAAAGCCATGTAGAAAATTAAAATGTAGATTTATTAAAAAAAAAAAATCCCTCTGACAATCTGCAAAAAGAAGGCAAAATAGGAATTTGGTGATTCAGAAGCTCTCAGTTCCAGATCACTCATGCAAATCCAGGAAACGTGACTACATTATTGTTGTCTGCCGTGCCTTGTGACACTGTGATCCTTTTTGGCAAAGGCAGTAACGAAGAATAAGCTTTTTCTTGTCTTCTACTGTTTATTGAAGATGCTAGTTTTGTGATCAATTTAAGCTAGCATTGCTGTCAAAGGAAGCCTCTTCTTCCCTCCTTTTGTGGTCCCCTCTTTACTTGAAAACTAATTGTATTTTTTAACCTTATAAACGGGCAGAGAGAAAGGAAGGGGTAGGGAAGGATAGGACCACCTCTTCTGGCAGGCATACCTTGAACTAGCTTAGGCCAGTATTTACAAACACTGCACAATGATTTGAGCCAATTCAGGTTGCTGTTGTCATTCTTCTGACCTCCCTCCATCTCCATGTTCTCCCATGTTTCTCACTCTCTGCCTTGCATCAACACTGATGCCTGTGTGATCTCACTCTAAGCCAGGTCAGAGAACCCAACTGATCGAAGTCTAATCAAAAACCTAATAAAACTAATAAGAAGTTGAAGAGTTTGTCTACTGACTGGCTACCCAGCTGTGGAACTGCATGATCTTTGGGCATTCTTGTACTCGCTGGTTTCTCCTCATATGTTCAATCAAGAGTCAAAACAGCTGAAGCAAAATGAGAGCTTTGAGCAACACAATCCAGACAGCCAGAATGGACTGTCTAAATTCTTCACTGAAGTCTTCCTTCAGTCTTGTTTTTAGCTGGTTCTTGGCTGTCTACAGCTTCCTTTAAGGAAATGTCCTTGTCTTCAAAGCCCGGAAAATGAATTTAGGGAACAGAAGGATGGGCAGGACGTTACTCTTCTTTATAATCATGCTGCATTTTTGTCTGTGAAGCTTTTACTCCTGCTGCCATGAAAAGTGGTGTTACCCTGAGATCATACTGGATTTTTTTATTTTTGCTTTCTTATTTTGCTATTTTGTAAAACGTACCATGTTAAATTATGTATTTTTAGTCAAAGAGTCTGCTAGTCTCGAATCCGAATGAAAAGGCTAAAGTGCAAGCATTATCTGCAACTGTTCTAAATATTGTTGTGAGACTAAGTTCCTACCAAAAAAAAAAAAGACTATGAAGAGCACAAACCAGTGGATGACTAATGAGAAGTAATAATATATGAAAGCTCTTTCCTTTAATAAAAAAGAAATCCCCAGATCTTGCATCTCATGCCTGTCAGGAAAGACAAGTGACTGCAGTTGAGTTGCAAAAGCACCTCATCTATAGTTTCAAGTGTTTTTCTGCTCGTAGAAATAGACATGTCAAAGTGGTTTTGCTATCAGTCATTAACTTTTTCATTGATATTTCATCTTCAAGCCTATCTTGACACCTGTCCTTTCATCAGGAAACGTCTGTGCCCTGATAAATGTATCCGTAAGAAACAGGTTTTTCAAGCTGTATGCTAAAATGTGGTGGGGTTTTTGCCCTCCCTGTTCTAATCAGAAGAGTGTTTCAGAACATCGTGGATCTTATTCTCTAAATTTATTCACCAATGGCTTTTCTTTTCATGTCAACTTTGTTTAACTCAGCTAGCTCTTCTGTCTCTCAAGTGTTTATTCCCCGCTGTGTTTCAAAGCAGTGAGCATGTTTTCTTCCAGGCCTTGTTTTTCCTAGACTAAACAAGCCAAACACTACTGGATTTGAGACTCTGAACTCTCTTGCCAAAGTTTCAGCAGAATTGGAAGTAAATCAGCAAAGGGCTTACATATTTCAGTTGCATTGGAATTACACTGTCGATGTTTTTGTTTCTGGGAACCCAAAATTGAAAGCAAATCTGGGTTATTATGAATCCATCAAGTCCAAAATTGAAAGGAACATTGTTTTGAATAGCACTGTGATTCTAACAGTGTGCCTGCATGTGTCCACCCCGTTGGAATTGTTAGCTTAGGTTTGGTGTTGCTCTGCTGCTTCCAGCTTCTGTGTGGGAATGGCCATACATGAGCTCCAGTAAACACCGAGCAAACTCCAGGCTCTTTGCAGAGGTGGGCTTAAAGCTGACAAGTTTGATGGTTTCTATGCCTAAGTAGCAAACCTCGCCAGCACTCCACTGGAAGGATTTGCATCCCAAAATACATTCAAGGCAGGAGGAACTGGGGCATGCCTCTCCTATGCAGCAGATGACGAGCACAGGGCTGTTTCAAGAGGACTTGTCCGATGTCAGATGCAAACCAGCACTCCTGTTGCAAAAAGCACTGTGTAAACATCATCGCTGGTGAGCAGCTGCAGAAATATGTCTGGCAGTTCTGTGGTCTTTCCATCTTATTGACATAGCCATGAAGCTCTGGAAGCTCTTGTTATAGGGTGATAATACTCGGACTGGTTTTCTGTGAACGAATGTAACTAGAAGTGCGTTAATAAATATTCTGCAATAAATAAGTATTCAACAGTAATAGAAATACCAATTTTCTGTTACACGCTGTTCCCAGGCTTTGCTCAACGCTCTCCGTAGTTAATTGTACTGTGCTGTTGTGATGCTTCACTGCAAAACAACTTCTGATATTTAAGAATGCTTATTTTCCTCTGAAGTTGCATAGTTTACGGAAATACATAGTAGTCTTTTTTAATTTTAATAGCAACGCTTGATTTTAATTTAGTTTAGGACTAAAAACTGTAGACGTTTTAAGTTTCTAAACTGTGTCAAGGAGAAGATCTTCCAAGATGGAAGAGAGAAGAATGCACGTGGATCATCAAGTTAGCAGTGCTTAAGTGGGTTATAAAACAAAATTTGTGCTTCAAAGTGTAAAAATTAAGTCTTGCTCCAGCCCCAAGAGTGTAATCTAAGTGGGGCTCTGTGGGACTGGCTTGTTCTGGAGGCCGTGTGTGATTGCTACCCGTTGCGTTCAGGCTGATGATGGTGATGGTGGAGCATGTTTCTTCTCCTCCCTTTGAAGTTTGTGCCGTTTTGACACGCACAGGTTTCCACAGGAGCGTGTATTGCAACTGATGGCATTGTGCTTATGGGAACTAGTGAATCAAAATCTTCTCATGTCAGACTCTCAGATTAATTCAAAAGTGATTTTTCAGTTTGTCGGAATACCATACAAAGGATTTTGTGACCAAACTGAAAATAGCATCCTGTTTAATGTGTTTATTTTCCTGGGTCAAGAATCTTGTAAGATAGAATAGTCTGTTAAAGATCTTTTAATGGTTTCTAAATTTGTCTAGTCTGGTTTATTTTTTTCTAAATGTTGAAATGATGCAGTGGGAAAACATGAATACTAATGTTATTGGTCCAAGGTCTGCAGAATTAGATACTATCCCTAAATATAGCTTTACATTTTCAAAAAACTTACTTTCAAATTGTGATTGTCAGATTTTAAAACCACCTTTCCAAGACAGCGTTTGAGGTATTTTAACTTTGAAATCATTAGTGAAAAAGTTGAAAAGAATTCAGGAAGTGGGTTTTACTGCAAATATTTCTACATGTTTATATACTACTTTTACACAAAAAAAAAAGATGTTCAGCAGAAATTGATGTTTTTTTTTCCCAGTATCAGTTCTGTAAACAGTAACTGGTTCCCACTTAATTGTGGAAGTTGTCTTGCCCAGTATGGCTGTGCCACCCAGCTGGAGGAGCTCAGAACGTCCCAGGCTGGGGCAGGGACATGAGAAAGCACCTGGTCTGGAGTGAAGATGTTATGGTGCAAGGTGTTCTGCTGTGTGCTCTTCCCTCCTCCAGGTGATCCCCCTTTCTCCCTTTCCTTCTTCCTTTCCCTGTGGACATTTTCAAGGCCTGATAGCCATTGAGGAGACGCTGCTGTGGGTCAGAGGGAGGTGAGAGCTGGGTCTGGCTTACACTGCCACGTGCACAGGAAACCAAAACCTGTCATTTGTTCGTGTCTGACACAGGTCAGGACCTGGGAATGATGGTGGCAATTTACAAAGGGGTTTTTTGATAGTGTAATCAGTGGAAAAAGGCTAGTGACATCCAGCCATGTTAGAGGCAACTAAATAAATTCTTGCTTTCCCAGTATCCTCATCTGGAAAGATGCCTGTCTCCATTTCAAGGCTTAAGCCTTTCCATCAGTCTTGCTGCGCTCCAGAGTCAGAAGCGGGGAGGCAGGGGGGAATGCGTGTTTGTGTGTGTCAGAAGGTGGGAGCAAGAACACTGTGCAGCAGATAAAAGCAGCAACAGATGAGGGAAGAGGAGACGACGCATTTTTACCTTGCGCAAATACCTGGCAAAGGGAAGACAAGTAATTTGCAGATGTATGTTCATGCATGTATCTAAAAAGGACATCTGTCAGCTGCTGCTGCAGAGAGGTGATGTGGTATTTGAGAGAGATCCGTTGCAATCACAGCTTGGCATTTTCAAGTTTGGAAATGAGTTAAAGTTATGATGTGTGAGGATAGGAGAGGCTTTGTTGTTGCTGGGACTTTGTATAATACAAAATAAACAACAACAAAAAAAGGCTGTGTACTCTAGAGTGTGTTGCTGTAATCAATCTACAAAAAAGTAGCATTTTCTAATGTAGCTATTACTGTTTATATGCATATGCTAATGGTTATCTTGCCAGAATCCAGTAAAAATTCTAGTAGGTTGTTTTGGGGTTTTTGTTTGTTTGTTTTTAACTGGAAAGACCGTTAAATATGGATGTAATGACTTTTCTGAAGCAAACCAGTAACAAAATATGAAATAAGATCAATGCCTATATTAATTACACTTCTTAAGATGCTAGAAAAACCTTTTGTTCTTTTTACATCAAATGCTTATGTGCAGCACTTGAAGAGGAAGCCCCCACTAGATCTTTCTTCATTCCATACAGTGTTTTGGAGGAAGAAGATGAAGTCACTGTTTTATAGTGTTGTAGATGACCAGGATGAATTTCCTGAAACTACCAGGAAGGTTAAAAGGAAAATGCAACTCTGGGCCAGGCAATACTTTACCATTGTTAATGTCTAGGTCAGTAGGCAAAGCTTTAAGCACACATTTGCACGTGACTGTGTAAACACAGTTCGTTCTTACAGCCTACAATTACTTTAGCTGCCTAATCAGTAGATAAGGCTCTATTATTTTGCAATATGTTTATTAATCATTTAAGTCTTTTGTTCTTGAAATTTTAGAAAATATGGTTTGGGGTTTATTTTAATAGGGAATATTGTTCTCTGGAGGGTCTTCTCTTATCCCTGTAACTCTACATAACCTTTTTATAATGGTAGAGCTGAAAACTTGTTGTTCAAAGCAAAGAATTTTTTGTATGTTGTTTATGTGAACTTACATCACTTTATATACTTCAACCAAAATAAGTAGCTGTGCCAACCAAAGACAGTTCTATTTATATTCTGCTTTCTCTGAAGCAGGCAGCCATAAGGGTTTACCAGGTTCTACTCTTCACCCTTCTCCCCTTACCACCTTCCCCAGGGACTTCGGACTTCTTGGTGGCTGGTAGTTTTGAGAAGCAGCAACGCTTCTTGTAGAGAGCCTTTTCCCATGAGAAAATACTAGGCTGCTCTGCACAGTGTTTCCGAAATAAATGGCATCTGTCCAGCTATCTAAACTAGGCTGAACTATGTTAAAATAGCGAATTTCTTTGCCCATCCTTTTTTCTATTTTCACTTTGATTTAACAAACTTCCGGAACCTTTCAGGCTCGCCTATATTGATATTTCTATATACACAGAATCTCCTATCTCAAGTCCTCAAAGCTCTTTCGAAAAGCAGATTTCATATTTTTGTTATGATGTCGCTGTTGACGTTACCATAGTAAAAGACTACCACTCTTCACTTATTCCTGTAAGATTCTCACTGTGCAAATTATTAAACTAAGGTGCAGACAGGTAAGAATGACAAAAGCACAGCTGAGTCATTATGTTAAGAAAGAAATAGAATTTAGAAGACTGGATCAGTCTTAAGAATATTTCCAAATTAAATCTAGGTAGGTGGTCTGCTTTTCTCTTCTTCTAAATGTCCCTACTGTGATTCATATGGCTCAGGAGCTTTTGTGCATCTTGTGAGAGTGACTTGAGTCCAACTTTTGTTTGATCTAATAGACAGTTCACTAATAGTTAATATTTCCACAGTTTGTATAAGACATGTAGAAGGTTTGTGGATTTAACCTTCCTGGTTAGCTCTTCCCAGTAGAACTTCATGCTTAAATAGTGTGCTTTGTGAGATGCTGCACACAGTGAAATGATGCTGTTCTTTGGTCTTCAGAGATAGTTACCGAAACAGAGATGAGTTCCATGGCAGTTACACCAATGCTTTCACTTGGTGATTTCACATGAATTAGTTCATGACCTTTGTTAGAAAACCACAGCAAACTTCTGCGTCTTGTTTATTCATAATTACACACTTCATGTTTCCCAGGTTTCACTCGTGTCCATGCTGCTGTCCCTTGTTCATGTGGCTAAAGGGACTGCTACCAGGGTCTGACATTGCTTACCCAAATCTCTCCGCCTCTGCCTTAACTGCATTTCTTGGTATTTTCACTGCAGCTCTTGCAGTATAAACAGGATGATAACACTTGTTATGTTTACAGAGCTTTTCATTTGCCAAAGCACAGCACTGGTAGCTGGGAGCAGACACTGTGTTAGTGACGGAGCAGTCAAGTCCAGAAGGTTTCTTGAGACATTTCTATACCAAGAACCTCGTGAAAGCACTTTAACATTTACCTTTTTGTTGTTCGTTCTAGGATCAGGATCCAGGCTGTCAATGAAATTGGAGCTGGACCTTTTAGCCACTTTATTAAAGCAAAAACCAGGCCGTTACCACCCTTACCTCCTCGGTTAGAGTGTGCTGCAGCAGGTCCTCAGAGCCTGAAGCTGAAATGGGGAGAAAGCAGTTCCAAGCTTCACACTACCGACGACATGGTCTACATCTTGCAGATGGAAGACAGAAATAAAAGGTAGGAGATATGAATCTTTTCCTTTTGTTTAATGAAAAATAATTCTAGTTCATCATACTGCAGTTATGAATCGCAGTAACAAAAACTTTGTTTTCCTCATTACTTCATACCTACAAGTATATACAAAATATTGTTTTAAAAGGGATTCTGTGCTTGTAGTCTAACCCAGCAAATTATGTAACAAAACTGTTAAAGTTATTATAGAACAACCAAAATCAGTGCTGTACTGTCGAATTTTTCACAAAACCCTGGCCCCTCTGCCAGTTAAAGTTAATACCAAGTTTCATGGTCATAGTGCTTTACTCTTTGCAATATACAAAACAAAGATGTTGCCCCCAACATGGTGTGTGTATTAATAAAACAAACGGTTACAAAATTGGACGTCTAGGAAAGGCAAAACTGAGCAGAACGAGGGTTTTTTGGGCAACGTGATGGTCAGGATTTTACAGCTGTAATAGTTTGAACCATTAGAAAATATTAACTTGGCATCAGCTTGGTAGCTGCGGAATAATTATGACATAAGAATGCAGAAGGGCTCATTCGCCATGTTTTACTTCTCTAAAATTTTCTTCAAAGCCATGAGAGCTTTCGGTGTTCAAGAAACACAAAAATGAACATTAAACAGTCAGCGCTCCGCAAAAAGTATTTTCCCAATGCAAACTTTGTATGGGAAGATTTGATAATGTAGCTCCAAAGTTGAGAGATATTCAATAAAAGAAGGAAGAAAGACAGTACATGAGTATTGCCTGACAGACTGAGCTCTTCAATGAATAAATATCTTAGATGGCTCATAATTTACTAAGAAACATTTTCAACTAGTTTAATTAGGTAAAATAACTGATGTATCAAGTAGAGAATCCTTAGAGACCTTCAGTACAGATCATCATTTGATGTAAATTAGCATGATTCCCTTAATTTAAGTAGGGCTGTGCTGAGTTTATGCCAGCTGAAGATCTGGCCCAAAAGCTCTAATTGTAAGTAATAAACTCACCATGAATAATGCCTAAATACCTCCCAGTGTCTCAACTGTAGTGATGCAGAGAGGGTACGTGCTTCCCTGGATTCATACTGAGGCCATCCAATGAATATAAATGCCCATTTGAAAGTCTGACTGATAAAAGCAGTTTCTCCAGAGTGCAATGATGCTTGGCAGGAGCCCATCACCTGCAGCAGTGTGTGGTCAAGACAGCTCTAAAGAAACATCTAGCACACTTCTTTTGTTTGCTTTCATGTAGCACTGCAGGTAGGGTGGTGAGGAACTGTAAATTGCTTTAAACCTGTTTTTATGTTGGAGAAAATAATAGGTTTCCTCATAAGAATAAAATACCTTATGTTACCTGGCAGCAGAGAAGGAAAGCTTTTTCTCCTTTGCTTTTGCACAAGGCTTTGGCATTATCCTTTGCTTTTGCACAAACTTTTCCCGCTGCAAATGGTCTCTGAAGAGCTGTTAATTAGGAGGAATTTGAACTTGTTACTCTGCTAGGTCTTCTTAGCTTTAAATATGGCTTACAGTCCACGTGAGCTCTCAGAGATGCAGAGAAAACTACTCATCTACATTGCACTGATTGTCGTCTGCTTGAATTGAGCCCTTGCATGAAATGACTTCCTTTGGTGTTGGGTTTGTAGCAATTAGCTCAGATAATACCTGAAATGAGGGTAGCCCTGAGCCCTCCAGCCCATGAAGCACGCACCAGCGTGCATAGAGCATAGCGAGTAGAACGGGTGCGCTGCTGTCTCTGCCGGGTGCTGTGTTCGAGAACAGTTGGACCGGGCAGGTCTCGGCAATAAAATCTGTTTATTTGTTCCCTATTTGACCGTCCCTTTTTGCTCCCCGTTGTGTGCACCGGTCACAATGAGAGATGTTCCTGAAAGGATACAGCGGCGGAGTTTGGTACATTCAGGAGAGCTGTCGTTCTTAATGAACAGAGAATGGCAGCCCACATGTGAATTAGTAGAAACAGCGGTTAGTTACAGAGGTAGGAGTCCTCTCTTAGATCGTTCCCATAAAATTAACCTCATCGTGACTGAGGAGTTACTCAGTCGTCTGTAAGCTTGTGAAAAATCTTGGAACATGATTCTTTGAGCATCACCAGGCTCTTTAATTGTGCAGTGCTGTGGCACACTGATGCAGGTAAACTGTGGACACCTGATGGAATAATTAAATGCTAGTCTCTGGTGAAAAATTACACTGAATAAATGATCTAGAAGGGTGTTTTGGAGTCTTTTTTGGTTTGAAAGGGTAGGAAAGTTCTATGGTGTCTCCTCTTTTTAAAGAAGAGGTAGCACCTGACAGGCAAAGAGTCTGTGGTGTAAACATGGGTAACTCAGAATTGACCTCTGTCATATCCGTACTCTTTCAGAAGATATTTTTACTGTCTTCTCTGAGACATCTGAAATTACTTTTAACAGCTTCATGTTGAAATCCTTTAACTCCTTATTTCCCTTCTTCAGCGAATGCGAGCGTGTGCTTTGCGTGTTGTAACGTACTTACCGATGAGGTTTAAAATAGGAGTTGGCTTTAAAATACCATTGAAGCGTTTTCATAAACAGAAATACAAAGATGAGCAAATTGTTTTTAGAAAAGGAAATTGTTGGTAAGTCGGATTCTGACCCTGATAGCTTTAATGGTCTTTTTGTAAAGATTCAGCTCTGGTTTTATGCAGTAATAGTCAGCCAGTGCTCTTCAATGTGTCCTGGTCATTAAGGTTTGTTTTTAACTTTTCCATGCCGTAATGAGGTATAACAGGCCAGTTGTAGGAGACTAAGTGTTTCATTGATTGCAAGACCTGTGAAACAAAATACTTGGAAATCTCCTGACAGTAATTAATGTAGGGGCTTGAAAAGGTGTGCGCATCAGAAACGTACCTGCTTTAGCTCTCGTTCACTCTTCGGTGTGTGACATTTAAGAAGATCAAATTATCATCTCTTGTCCTTTCAATTATGTGTAGCATTAAGTGGAAATGAAGAAAAATCTGTTTCTAGAAAGCCCAGTACATGGCAATGTTAGTTGAGAGTAGTTGACCTTTACATAAAGAGGACTATAAAATTTCTTTCTTCTTTAAATAAACTATCAGTTATGACTTCATTTCCTAACTCTAGTAATGTGAAGAAAATCATCCAGAATACTGCGGATTTTTCCTCTCCAAGTGAAACAAATGAACCTAATTATATTAATGCCTTTGATTTTTATTCCTGTACTGGTAATTAGTTTTTAGTTGTTCCTACAACTAATTATACCTCTTAGTGTCTTAAAATGCTTACAATACTCTGAAAAAGAGAATTAGTAAGTACATTATTAGTAGGTCATTTATCAGTTGCCTGTGTTTACTTTAGATGAATAGGTGTTGCAGCTAAGATGAATTCTGTGATTTTTGTGTGTGTACAGAATCCAAATACAAATATATATATATAATTATATTTTAAGGGAGATTCATTAGTAAGGCTGGTCTAGAAGCAACTTAAACATATTCTTTAAAAATGTCAATGAAGGATCATTGACAATTCTTAGTAAGCCTGCTTTTGTAAGTGAATTGTAAGAGGTGATGTTTACTGGTGTTCTAAATTATAATTGCTTTTGTTGTGATTATTTACTGAATACATGAGTTATGACTCTATCACTGGGTAAACAGTAGTAGTGTTTTCCCTTCATAGCATAAGAAAGATTATTTGTGTAGGGATTAAACTATTTCAAAATACTTCACTAAATTATACGTGCTTGCTATTTAAGGAGATATAATTCTTCAACGTAAATTAAAAATCACAAAATACAACTTGCCTAATGACTGTAAGTATTAATTGGGCACAGTTATTGTGCACACACTGTTTTCCTGGTTAAGATATGAATGTCCCAAGGCCATAGACATACATCAACGTAATCCTGGAAACTTCTGATGACTCCAAGGAAGGAATAATGTTTGTAACGAAATTACATAATCCCTGGAATTGATTTCTTTCTGCTTGGAGAATTTTACCTTAACTTGAATATAGGCTGAACTCTTCCAGAGCATACCTGTTTCTTTCTCAGATAGTTGTTTGTTGCCTGTGTACAGCTGCCCCGAAGCAGTTTCTGCACTCTCGCCTTGAGGTTGCTTTTACTTTAACAAAAAGACTAATGGCTCAATGCATTAATTTATATGAATTTATAATGCTGCCTCATTAAGTAATTGGGAGTTTACCCAGTAACCTCAGCAGGCTAGATGTTTTTCCCAGTGATGTTTTCTTACAAAACTGCCATATCTACCTGAAAGCATATACAAAAATGCAACAGAAAGGTTTGCAAAGCAGTAACAATACGATAACAGTTTGCTACGTGGATTGGTAGGCAGAGAGCTGTCGCAGCCCTTTGTGCCACCTAACCAGACAGTGGGTTGATGCCTTCAGAAAGATGAGCACTGCCACACTCCAGGCTTTCTACAATATTCCTGAAGGCTGTTTCGTTTCAGGAGGCATCACCCCTCACGTTCCCCGTCCCAGGAGTGCCTGTTATCATTGTGCAGGCAGCAGAGGACATCTGAGCTGTAGACTCTCGGTTGCCTTCCAGTGGTTCAGGTTGTCTTTCCTTGCTCCAGTTTGGTAGGTTGTGAGCAGAGCCTTTAGAGCTTGAATATGAGCAGGGGAGACGTGCAAGATTTTCCGATTTTCCAAAGGAGATGTGTAGTCCTATCCATTTCAGTGCCTGCCAACCCAGATGTTCGTGACGCATCTGGTATTACCGCTGTCATTTCAATTGCTTGGTAAGCTATTTCACTGTTTGTAGAAAGCCTATAAGAAAGAGATAACAGTATCATATTATAAAAATGTGCGCCAATATTTTCCAAAGTGAAAGGAACAAAAAAGCACCTGTCAGGAGGTGATTTCCAAGGAAAATTAAAACATCCTTTGAACAGTAAACAGTAAAGCCAGTGCAGAGATGCAGATGGCATCAATTTTTCTCAGAAAAATGGCTCAATTTTTCTGCAGGAGATTTCAGTTTTAGGAAGCTGCTAGCTCTTCCAGTGATT